ATAAGAAAATATTATAACCTTTATATTATAATAATAAGGTAAAAGGACCCCAATGGAAATAAGTCACTCTGTCTCTTTTTTGGGTTATCCTAGGTTCTCTACACATATGCTGCTATGTATGATAATTCTATGTAACTGTATTTGTGTATACCTGAATAAACTTACTTACTGACCTAATTTTCCCGAAATGATCAGCATAACAAGGGGCTTTCTGTATACAGTAGTATGTCATTGATGTCAGCTAGGCCTGTATACCATGTACATGTACTTGTAGTAAATAAAGATGTATTATTATTATATTTTGTTCCCCCGACAGCAGTGTATGTGGTAGCGACCTTGCCTGGCTACCATTCCTGCCAACCAATGACTTTCTCTGCGGTAGTAGTCCCCGGATGTGCCTTGTCTGTTGGTCACTCACCAGGGTGTAGTATTCCAGCTCATCGCTGGGTTTTAGCCGGCACATGCCGTACTACGCTCGCCAAATTTTTTTACCTTATTTTTCATAAAACTATCAACAGTTTTTTTTTTTATAGTCGCCTATACGACAAAGGAGTTTGCTCCCGGTTCTCGATCTGGAGTCACTTTTCGTAATAGCTTAAATGGAAATAGATGAAAGTAAGAGAAACTTTGAGTGGACCAGGATGTTGCCTCCTCTGGACCACTCTTCCTTTCAGCCATAGGCGGATTAAAGTGCGGGCAAAGGAAGCATTTGCCCCCGGCCCTCCAAAAATTGGGTAAATAATTATTTTATAAGCAAATATAGCTCTCTGGAGATGGTCCGAACGTTGTAGTCTGCATAGTAAAATAACTGTAATTAATACTAGTAATATATCATCATTTCTACAAATACATGTACAAGGTTTACAGGCCTAGCTAACATTAATGACATACTACTACAAAGAAAGCCGCTTGTTATGTAGAGCATTTCTGGCAAATTAGGTCAGTTTTGTCCCGGGATGCGACCCACACCACTCGATTAACAATCAGGTACCCATTATTACTGATGGGTGAACATAGACAACTGCTGTAAGGAAACTCGCCCAATGTTTCCACCCTTTCGCTGGTAATCGAACCCATCACCGTGCAAAGCGAGAGCTTTTGCCACCAGGCCACGGGGCACCGTGCAGAAGCCAGTGTCATTAGAAGTAGAATAGACACAATTTGGAAGCTGAGATAATGGCTTCACTCTAGGAGGACGTTCTTCGACGATTTTACACCGTTTAACTTGATGTTCCAAGATCCTAAACTTTACAGTGTCATTTCCCACTCTTATGGCCTCATCGAGTTCACATTACAAAAAATTCGAGATTCTCTTGAACACAAGGGAGAAAAGCTAATTTTCAGTGATACCTGTCCTGAGGAGAAGTGTCGGAAGCGAAACACAGATGGAGAATTACATCGTAGGTATGTTCCCAGAATAACTAAAAATAGAGCCTTTCAAATGACCACAGACCGCTTTCTAGTCGATTCCTTTCTTCATATTCTGCAGGTAACCTTCACAAACCTGCTTGTTGTGTACTCGCATAACTTTAATTAACGGTGGAAGATATTTATATCTTCACAAAAGCATTGGAGGAAGCATATAACTGCAGATCTTTAGCCTGATTTTTCTGTTGAACTGAACTTCTGATTTCTTTTATATGTCGCTTCTGAAGGTGCCAGTTTAACCACTAAACAAGACGAAGTTCCAGAGATGTGCTGTACCGTGTCGGGTAGAATGTCTCCCTTTCCATTGTAATCCCAATATGTCCAGCTTCCTTTCGTTGATGATGACAAATTGTAGTGGCGAACATTCTGAGCCATGTCAAAACCTGTGTTCAACCATGGGACGGCAACGAATTTAAAATCTCAATTTTCAGCACTGCACACGAAAGGTTGGACTCGCTGCCAATGAACAAAATTACATTTGATTTTACGTCACTGAATGCTCGCAGAGGCCATTATAAGTTGTGCTTTCTACGATAAGTGCATCCCGGTACGTACATCCTCCTTACAGCGTGAGGGAATGTACATTCCATCACGCTATATGTACATTCCCTCACGTGGCGTGGGGAAATTTACATATCCGAGGTGTTATGGGAGATGTTCGTGCCACTCCGTGTTATTTTGTATATTCCCTTATTATTTGTCTTAGTGTTCATTACACATTATTTCATGATTTTTAGGAGTGTACAGAGTTTTCCAGAAGTAAAATGATCCGTAATTATTATATTTTAGTTTAATAGTTATATGCCCTAGAGAGGCTTAAGAGAATGGGAATTACTGTCGGAGGGATGAATGCTTTTGTGAGAGAAACTGTATTAAGAGGGTGTAGCAGGTAAGATTTTAAAGTCCCAAGAGTAAATGATAATGGGCGTCCTCTAATTGAGCTTTGTATACAAAGAGGCTTGGTAATAGGTAATGCATCATCCAGTACTGCTTTCATTATTCAGTAATATGCACTAAACCTTGCGACATGCCTTCGGCTGGCACAGAATTTGGGAAAGGCTATAATTAACTCGAACACTGCAGTATCTTTCCAGTAGAAAATTTGGGTGGATTTGTATACCAGCAGATTATTATGGGGGAGCACTAAACCCATAGGGATTATACAGTGCCTGTGGGGGGGGGGGGAAGGCATTAAGGCTGAATTCAGGGAAGTGGAGCACAGATCCAGTTCCCTAGATCAAGAGCCCCTCACCAACATGAAGTAACCTCCCTTGAGAGGACCAACAGGTTTGCTTAACAATATACATGTATATGGCGCAATGTGCATAACTCTTGCTTGTTAAAAGTTAAAAACAATCTATATTCTCCGGTGTAGCTGTATCTGCAGCATCATACAGTTCGCTTCAAGCAAATTGCTTGGTTGCAATTGGGAGAGCAGGAAACACATTTCTGAAAGTGTTTTCCATGGTTCGGGAGAACAGGAAGTGTAGCTAGAGTCCTGAAGTAACAAAAAGGCACAATACCGTGACTGTAACAATACACAAATAACTGTGACTTTGTAAATGGTCCAAGTCAGACCGAAACGTCGTTGTAAGCTCCTCTCTCCTATGTGCGGGTTATTTGTGTAGAGTACTGAAGTGACAGCAATCAAGCTCCGAGATATCTTTCATTGCTGTTCAATGTGGGAAACTACACGCCCAAAGAGGGAGTCTGTATCAAAGGTGGTGCTGCCTCTTACCCATATTATAATCAAACCTAAGCAACAAACCAACAAGGGCCATACAGTGCTGCACCTCTCACCCATAGACATCATGGGTACTGTTATAAAAACAGTTGAAATGACTGACATCAGCTACACGCAGTGAGTACTCGTTTTCTGTTTGCACAGCAGACCTTATCGTCTTTTATCTTATTATTATCAGAACTAAGCACTAAACCCACAAGGGTCATACAGTGCTGCAACTTTTATCTTGTATTTATACTTTTTCCATTGTAACCTAACTTAGAATTGCACTTTAATGCTAATGTGAAAAATTGACATAGTTATTAAGAGGACGGGTTGGATACAGAGATAGACTATTCAAGACAGATAATGGGTACACAAGGACACAAATGAATAACAGGGACGTCAAAATTTTTTTTCGATATGCTCAAGGTGATTAGGGAATGGAATAACTTGGATAAAAAAAAAATGATGGAGGCAGCCTCCATACATAGCTTTAAAAAGTATAATAAAACCAATGAGGTAAGGAGGGAGCAAATCTGGTAATGGTTAGTTAAAAAAGGCAAGACCAGAAATGGAGACTTGATCCCTACAACTACAAACAGATGAGTAAAATTTCTTCACAATAAAATGTTTGTCATTGGAAGATGATATAACCAAACCAAGTGCTAAACCACAAAGGGTCATACAGCACTGTAGGGTGGGAATGTGGTCAAGAAGGAATATGCAGAGGTAAGAGTGTGCAAGGAGTAGATTTAGCAGGGCTAGTGGAGAGTGCAACAAGTTAGTTTCTGTTAAAAAGCCAGAGGGTGTCTGCATCAAAGGTTGGACTTTCTAGTGAGGTCAGGTAGACTAAACCTGTTGGGGGCAATGGAGACATCAGAAGAGATTCCTGTGTACCCACTGATAGGGCAACCTATTGAGGGAGAGTGAACTGACAACATTACATGGCAGTTCTCAGAGAGGTGCTGAGCACATTTCCATGAGATACCCATGAGTGAGACTCGTGTGGTAAGATGATGGCTAGAAACCCAAACATGGTTCAACAGAATGCAATATTTTGTGGAGCAACTTAAACCACTGTTGTTGCCAACAGTTGTGAAATTGTAGAGAAATTGCTGCAAAATAGTCTGGGAAAGGAACACCTGTGCAAAATAAGGGAGGCATGATTATTATTATTACAAACTAAGTGCTAAACCCATAGGGTCATACAGTGCTGTAGAGTAGGGTGTCTGGACTGTGCAGTATGCTTGATCTGAAACTAGCAAGGGTGGAGAGTATAACAGAGGTCGAGTTTGTAAGGACGGTGAGGAGTGCTAAAGAACGTATAATCAAAGGTTCTGTAATAAATCTGGTGCTGTCAAAGTCAAAGAGGGAGTCTGTGTCAAAGGTGGGGCTGTCAGCTACTAGGGAAGATTAAGTGTTAGAGTGGTGACAACAAAGTCATGAACTTCAGTCCAAGTTGCAGAGTCTGCCTGTTAGGCAGCAGAAAACAGTCTTTATTTACTAGAAATGCAGTATAACTAAAGCCATATACGTACATAGGACAATGGAAATCGACTACAAATGACAGTAGGCATTGATGCAATGCGTAAGACGGCCATGAGAATTGCATATGACTCAACTGTGAAAATACTGGCCAAGTCTAGTAAGTGACCTCATATAATTTTGTCCAGAAAAACTGCTGCATACCCAACACCTTTGGAGGACTTAGACCTACCAGTTGTACACTGTGGTATGAGAATGGAATTAGAGCAAGTGTGAACCTTTCACCCATGGAAGCAGGGAAGAACAGACATGACTTGTCAAAAGCCATTTGGGGACATATTTGGTCAAAACAAAGATCATACAACTTAATTGTATTTTATTGCATAAGCAGTGTAACATGAAATATAGCTAGAACAATTACTGTACCTCAGAAATTCCAAGCAACAATCCTATAATTTGATTGCCATGCAAGATAGTAGACTCCACTAGCACACACAACCTTGTCATACATAAATGGTCAGGTATTCATTTGGTTTAATTCAAAACTGCACCAGATACTAATTTCCATTTGTGCTCATTTTTAAATGTCACACATTGACTTATCCCAAAACATGTTTTTCAACCTATCAAGTGTCTCCTTTATTACATTCATAAAGGACAGGGAGGAGAAATTAATCCTGAGGGGTCATATAGGAGCTATAGAAAGGGAAGGCAATCAGGTTTGAGCCAAGGAAAGGGAGAATAGATTCAAAGCCTCGACTAAAACAGCACCTCACTGTCATCAAGACGCCTCCATTATTATTTCCCAATATTATTAGCACCATTACTTTAAGGGAGATTCTTTGCTGGTGAGTGGCTCTTGATTCAGGGAATTGGACTTGCACTCTGCTTGCATCAAACCTGATTGCTTCCAATGTCTGAGGCACTGTATGACCCCTGTGGGTTTAGTGCTTCTCCTAACTATAATTATAAAAAAATAATGGTATATAAAGAAAATCTTCCACTGTATGATAAAAAAAAATAAGAGGTCAGTTATATTTGTGCATCTTTAGTTTCAAGTACAGTAACAGTACTATCGTCATTGCACTTTCAAACACATTGGAGTTTGTTTCACATGACATACCATGAGTAAGGGTTAGATAATTTATATAACTTGAGTTTGAAAATTTACACTAAAATATATTTGTACTCTTTTAAATGGAAAGAACATGCAAAGGATGGGGAGAGTAAATACTTTGCAGTTAATGCCCACAATGTTTTAAATTTTTATTCTGAAAGCCCTAATATTGTACATCACTTACTATACATTACATATTCATGTGGTATTTGATACCTTCAGATTGAACTATCAACTGTAAACCTACCTCAGAATCTCATAAGAAATGAATACAAAGAAAAATAACAATGGAAAATATTTATTAGTTGACAAGAATATGAATCTTTTTGGTTTATATTATTATTATAATCAAAAAGAAGCGCTAAGCCACAAGGGCTATACAGCGCTGCTTTTTAGTTTATAATAATTGTTGACATGCAAATTTATCAAATAATACAACCTTATTTTTAGAACGTACCAAGACACGACTAAACTGTATAAGAAAATATATGAATTGGTCAGTTTTCTCCCAGTTAATAAAAAAAAAAAAATACATCCTTTCTAAATTATTTAATTTACGTGGCTTAGCGCTTCTTTTTGATTATTATAATAATATTTAATTTACAAGTAAGTACTAAACAAACATGGATCAGCCAGTCTCTCTGCTTTCTAAAAAGCTTATTCAATTAATCTAATTCTGGTTGGATTTGGAATACAATAGACCCTCCACTTAGGTTAATGTGTTCCTGAAAATTTCATCACAATTCAATTTTTCAGAACCTGTTTTCTCAAAGACACCCATGTTACAATCAGGACTTGTGTTCCCAAGCCATAATATAGCCTCTGCTCACTTAACCGAGTTCTGTTCCTAAGACCATGTCGGTAAACAAATTCGTCACTAAGTGAGGTGCATACCATAATGGTAGTGGGTTTCTGTCAACCATTTTCTGTATTGTTTTAATGTTGCCTTTGCACCATTTATAACATTTCTGGTATATTCTTTAATGTTTATACAGTAGTATACTGTCTATATTGTATTCAACAAAATAGAGGAAATAGCTCTAATATACATTATATATGCATGTTGGTCAGAGCCCGTCGTAAGTCTTGAGTTGTTGGTAAATGTGTCGCTAAGTGAAGAGAGGCTGTATTGTAAAGTTGACTTGACAGTGATCCAGACTGACTAAAATGTCATAAGATTCTCAAGTGCAGATTTTTGGTGAACTGTATTTTTGAACAAAGAATATTTACCAATATTTTACATCAGTACTGTATTGTCATTTACAATAGTAATAAATATTGTTTATTGTAGTGTTGGCCTGCTTAATAAACAGAGTATACTGCAGTAACAGCACAGCACAAATGTGTAGCTGCCAACAGCAACTAGACTGTCCATCCTCTAATTCTTACCTCCACCCTCTGTATAGTCCTTGTGGCTTAGCGCTTCTTTTTGATTATAATAATAATTACCTCCACCCTCTCTTGCATTGTATCTAACTTAAGAACCTTTATGTAAGCTCATTCTCTCCCTTAATGGTAAGGGTTTCAGGTGTCTAGGTACAGTGTAAAGTGCAGGAAGTAGTGGTGAAAACAACTGTATGACAGGGTATGGCATGAATTCCTGCTGTCATGCAGGGCAGGCAGCAGATGGGGAGGGGGAGAGGAGGAGTTCTTGCTATTCTGCTCATACAGGTCCAATAATAATGCTAATATAATCAAGTGCTAAGCCTGAAAATGTCTCATACAGGTCCAGCAGGGAGGTGAGGAAGGCAGTGTAAACAAATATGCTGCCTACAACTCCTGCCAAGTGTATTTTTCAACATTAAGCACCTATTCTCTTAATGTTGTGCCCTTTTACCTAACATTGTTGGTAATTCTGCCAAGTGCAACTAATGTGACATTCTGTGGTTGCTTTTCCCTCTCCAGGAGCTTTGTCAAGTTGTTACAGCTTGATAAAGCTCCTGGAGAGCTAAATGTTGCCACAATAAAATGTCACATCGGTTGCACTTGTGTCTTTTTACCTAACATTGTATATTTTATGAAAGTACTTTAACGAATTTGGAATATAATGATATTACATTAAGTTCCACAAAATAGAAAGCAAGAAGTATCAGAACTATACAGTATATAGTTTGCTTTATGATTTTCCAAGAACCTGCCTAGCATGGATCAGGAGGATTACCCCTATGCTCCCCTCTTCTTATACCAAATCTACAGTTGTTGACCACTCCTGATCAAACAAACGAGAGCTCTCTCTACTTGCATAAAATGAACATGCAAAAAGTACAAATGCATTTGGTAAAAAAAAAATAAATTAATTCAACCTTGAGAAAATTGTAAATATTAAATTTCAAGTTACTGACCAATCTCAACCAAATGAATGCAAACTCAATGCATGTACAAAATGAGCACACGCACACAGTATGAAAACATTTGGTAAAGCTGAACTATAAATGTATTTTGCTGAGTATATCCTACGCTTGCACTAACTCCCACCTCCACTAACCTTTGCACATCCCTCCCCACAGCTCATACTATTATTATAATTTAGGTAATTCTAACAGTGTCAAGAAAGCAAAATAAAGTCTGAATATTGTAAGCTGAGGACCCTTTGTATTTGGTGGCAAGAAATTTCATTGGTCTCTAAGCCTTTTGGAACTATTTTACATGTTCATTTTATTATTGCCGACACTGTACATCATCAGCCTTAGTAAACTATTGGTATTGCATTAAGTCAATTCAAATGATACACAAATGAAATATTTTAAGAGATTAAATATTGTATAGTGAAGCTGAAAAAAGTGATTAATGTCAGTCTTGTTTTGATGAGTAGGAAAAGCATTATATAATTAGAGCAACAATCATCCCACAATTTGCTGTTAGGCCAACTACCTTTAGCTTGGTACTAAAACACATGAATAACAAAAACTAATAACGTTTATGAAAATCAGTAACAAGAAATATGACTTATTAAAAAATTTAAGCGCACCTCATCCATACCATTACCCATTTTCAAGGGAATGTTTGATGCACTTGTGCATTAGTCAAAATGCACTTCTTTAGCAATTAGTTATGCCATGCCAAATTTAAATATATAATAGTACACACAACACAGACTATTAAGATGAGGATGGTGTTCAGATGTACAAAACTGCCTCGGTGGGAGACAGTTGGCGTGTTGAAATATATATGTAATGACAATTTACTGCAACTTGACAAAATTCAATGACAATTTTAATAATCATTAAAATACAATCCCTCAAGGAAGGTTCCTTGATGAGGGTGAGGGGCTCTTGATCTAGGGAATTGGATCTTGTGTTCCAGTTCCCTGAATACCTTCCATCCCCTCCCCCCCCACATGGACTGTATAATCCTACAGGTTTAGCACTCCCTCATGATTTTAATTATAAATTATAATACAAGATGGTATATACAATATGAATAGTACAGTATTTCATTGATTACACTGTCATACCCCCATACATTTTGCATAATACTGTACTGGATTTTATACATGTCACTAATAAAAAACATTGCTGCTCTGACAAACAATTTCTTTCTTTTCTGCAGTATACAAAATAATGTAGTTTACATGTAATAAAATATGGTTAGGCACAAAAGAAAGCCACTAACATGCAATACATTTTGATGAAACTTAAAAGGCTATACCAAATGAGGGTAAAACTGGCAAGTTATTTCATGATGCCCGTTTAATTTAGGTATCATTTTGTTTGATCTGCAAAGGTAGTGTTAAATTCTAACAAAATACACTATTAAATTAGGGCATACATTAATCTGAATGAAACTTGTATTGATACTAGACATCTGCTGTGAACATTATCCAATGAAAATATGGAAACTAATTACAGTACTTTAATATACAGTAAGCTATAGCCAGTTATGTAAATTATAACAAGGTAAAGTTACCCAGTTTGTTTTGGTACCAAATAAAATTTATATAAACATGAATATATATATATATATTAACCCATAAATTAAAAATATACAAGTTGGTTTGTTTGGCAACTCAGCCTCATATGCACATAATATACATTACCACAACAGAAAAATAGGTATAGATACACTATAACAAGGTATGGTAAAACTAATTAGCATCCTTCACTAGATTAAACTTATATTACACAGAATAAAATATTCCCAATTACTTAAAAGAAGCCTCCAGTAATATTTTCCACCAGGTGTGGAAGTATGCTGAAACATTCTCCATATAAATGCATGATCTATGACAAGGTATATTGCCATGCTCTTACCAATGTAATCAGTGAAAATAAAACCAGAAAACAGTCAATTACTAGACGAGAGAGATACATGTGCAACAGTTGGGTATCTTTACTGTGTAAACATCTTCCCTGCTCACCAGGCTTCTTCAGTCTATACAGAGGTGATTAAATATTAGAGACAGCATTAGCAGTGAAGTGGTAAATATGAGGTGATCAGTCCCTCAGCCTTGAGCTAATTTTGAGATGGTTAGTCCCTCATACTTGGCAAGTGTTCTGCTCTAGAGCCATGATTCAATGATCAAAACTATGGCACTGACTACTTACCAAGGCTGAGGAACTAACCACTTCAAAATTACTTCAAGGGTGGGGAATTGCCTATTTACCTCTCCACTACTACTGCTGCTTCCAATATTCAAGACACCTTTGTATCTGACTGAAGAAGCCTGCTGACAAGCAAAACAATTCATCAATAAGGATACTCAAGTATTGCACAGGTATTATTCAATATTGTGTACTATTAATGTAATCAGTTACTAATCTTTTTGTGCAAAGATTTTGGATAGTACATCTTGACCTTTGTCTTGGAGTATATAATTATGCACAGGTCCACCATATCAGCTAATAAGTATATTACTGTAGTGGAAAACTGAATAATAATAGTGAGCAAATTATCAAATCCTCCCATTCATTTAGCAAAACCACCATTTTACAGTAATCCTTACTATATTTTAGTCTCTTCAACTTAACAGTCATCCAGCAGATATTCACAAAAACCTGTAAAATAAGGATAAAAAAAATGTAGTTTACAAAAAGAAAATGATTAATGTACAAATACAGAAAAACGGAAGAGGTTAGAGCTAGACACTACCTAACATGGTATAGTGGATGATATATGTACATTGTGTGGTCAGTCAGGTTAACCCTTAAACTGCCGAAGGTTCTAAAATGAACGTTCTCAGTGCCAGCAACTTAAAAAATTTTTTTTTTATCACACTGGCCGATTCCCACCAAGGCAGGGTGGCCCGAAAAAGAAAAACTTTCACCATCATTCACTCCATCACTGTCTTGCCAGAAGGGTGCTTTACACTACAGTTTTTAAACTGCAACATTAACACCCCTCCTTCAGAGTGCAGGCACTGTACTTCCCATCTCCAGGACTCAAGTCCGGCCTGCCGGTTTCCCTGAATCCCTTCATAAATGTTACTTTGCTCACACTCCAACAGCACGTCAAGTATTAAAAACCATTTGTCTCCATTCACTCCTATCAAACACGCTCACGCATGCCTGCTGGAAGTCCAAGCCCCTCGCACACAAAACCTCCTTTACCCCCTCCCTCCAACCTTTCCTAGGCCGACCCCTACCCCGCCTTCCTTCCACTACAGACTGATACACTCTTGAAGTCATTCTGTTTCGCTCCATTCTCTCTACATGTCCGAACCACCTCAACAACCCTTCCTCAGCCCTCTGGACAACAGTTTTGGTAATCCCGCACCTCCTAACTTCCAAACTACGAATTCTCTGCATTATATTCACACCACACATTGCCCTCAGACATGACATCTCCACTGCCTCCAGCCTTCTCCTCGCTGCAACATTCATCACCCACGCTTCACACCCATATAAGAGCGTTGGTTAAAACTATACTCTCATACATTCCCCTCTTTGCCTCCAAGGACAAAGTTCTTTGTCTCCACAGACTCCTAAGTGCACCACTCACTCTTTTTCCTCATCAATTCTATGATTCACCTCATCTTTCATAGACCATCCGCTGACACGTCCACTCCCAAATATATGAATACGTTCACCTCCTCCATACTCTCTCCCTCCAATCTGATATTCAATCTTTTCATCACCTAATCTTTTTGTTATCCTCATAACCTTACTCTTTCCTGTATTCACCTTTAATTTTCTTCTTTTGCACACCCTACCGAATTCATCCACCAATCTCTGCAACTTCTCTTCAGAATCTCCCAAGAGCACAGTGTCATCAGCAAAGAGCAGCTGTGACAACTCCCACTTTGTGTGTGATTCTTTATCTTTTAACTCCACGCCTCTTGCCAAGACCCTCGCATTTACTTCTCTTACAACCCCATCTATAAATATATTAAACAACCACGGTGACATCACACATCCTTGTCTAAGGCCTACTTTTACTGGGAAAAAATTTCCCTCTTTCCTACATACTCTAACTTGAGCTTCACTATCCTCGTAAAAACTCTTCACTGCTTTCAGTAACCTACCTCCTACACCATACACTTGCAACATCTGCCACATTGCCCCCCTATCCACCCTGTCATACGCCTTTTCCAAATCCATAAATGCCACAAAGACCTCTTTAGCCTTATCTAAATACTGTTCACTTATATGTTTCACTGTAAACACCTGGTCCACACACCCCCTACCTTTCCTAAAGCCTCCTTGTTCATCTGCTATCCTATTCTCCGTCTTACTCTTAATTCTTTCAATTATAACTCTACCATACACTTTACCAGTTATACTCAACAGACTTATCCCCCTATAATTTTTGCACTTCTTTTATCCCTTTGCCTTTATACAAAGAAACTATGCATGCTCTCTGCCAATCCCTAGGTACCTTACCCTCTTCCATACATTTATTAAATAATTGCACCAACCACTCCAAAACTATATTCCCACCTGCTTTTAACATTTCTATCTTTATCCCATCATCCCGGCTGCTTACCCCCTTTCATTTTACCTACTGCCTCACGAACTTCCCCACACTCACAACTGGCTCTTCCTCACTCCTACAAGATGTTATTCCTCCTTGCCCTATACATGAAATTCACAGCTTCCCTATCTTCATCAACATTTAACAATTCCTCAAAATATTCCCTCCATCTTCCCAATACCTCTAACTCTCCATTTAATAACTCTCCTCTCCTATTTTTAACTGACAAATCCATTTGTTCTCTAGGCTTTCTTAACTTGTTAATCTCACTCCAAAACTTTTTTTATTTTCAACAAAAATTTGTTGATAACATCTCACCCACTCTCTCATTTGCTCTCTTTTTACATTGCTTCACCACTCTCTTAACCTCTCTCTTTTTCTCCATATACTCTTCCCTCCTTGCATCACTTCTACTTTGTAAAAACTTCTCATATGCTAACTTTTTCTCCCTTACTACTCTCTTTACATCATCATTCCACCAATCGCTCCTCTTCCCTCCCGCACCCACTTTCCTGTAACCACAAACTTCTGCTGAACACTTAACACTACATTTTTAAACCTACCCCATACCTCTTCGATCCCATTTGCCTCATTGCTAGCTCTCATTAGCCCATCTATCCTCCAATAGCTGTTTATATCTTACCCTAACTGCCTCCTCTTTTAGTTTATAAACCTTCACCTCTCTCTTCCCTGATGCTTCTATTCTCCTTGTATCCCATCTACCTTTTACTCAGTGTAGCTACAACTAGAAAGTGATCTGATATATCTGTGGCCCCTCTATAAACATGTACATCCTGAAGTCTACTCAACAGTCTTTTATCTACCAATACTAATCCAACAAACTACTGTCATTTCGCCCTACATCATATCTTGTATACTTATTTATCCTCTTTTTCTTAAAATGTGTATTACCTATAACTAAACCCTTTTCTATACAAAGTTCAAAAAAAGGGGCTCCATTATCATTTACACCTTGGCACCCAAACTTACCTACCACACCCTCTCTAAAAGTTTCTCCTACTTTGCATTCAGGTCCCCTACCACAATTACTCTCCCCACTTGGTTCAAAGGCCCCTATACATTTCACTTAACATCTCCCAAAATCTCTCTCTCTCCTCTGCATTCCTCTCTTCTCCAGGTGCATACACGCTTATTATGACCACTTCTCGCATAAACCCTTTACTTTAATCCACATAATTCTTGAATTTACACATTCTTATTCTCTTTTCTCCTTCCATAACTGATCATTTAAACTTTACTGCTACCCTTCCTTTGCTCTAACTTCTCAGATACCCCAGATTTAATCCCATTTATTTCCCCCACTGAAATCTCCTACCCCCTTCAGCTTTTGTTTCGCTTAGGGCCAGGACATCCAAACTTCTTTTAAATTCAAAAACATCAGCAATCATCTGTTTCTTGTCTTCTGCACTACTTCCACACATTTAAGCATCCCGTTTTTATAAGTTTTTCTTCTTCTCTTTTTTAGTAAATGTCTAAAAGGAGAAGGGGTTACTAGCCCATTGCTCCCGGCATTTTAGTCGCCTCTTTTGGGGACACGCATGGCTTACGGAGGAAAGATTCTTTTCCACTTCCCCATGGACAATAGAAGAAATAAAGAAGAACAAGAGCTATTTAGAAAAAGGAGAAAAACCTAGATGTATGTATATATATATGCATGTGCGTGTCTGTGAAGTGTGACCAAAGTGTAAGTAGGAGTAGCAAGATATCCCTGTTATCTAGCGTGTTTATGAGCCAGAAAAAGAAACCAGCAATCCTACCATCATGCAAAACAGTTACAGGTTTTTGTTTCACAGTCATCTGGCAGGACGGTAGTACTTCCCTGGGTGGTTGCTGTCTACCAACCTACTACTCATGCCAAAAAATTCTCTGATTTTTAGAAGTGAAATAAGACGAGAATGAGTGAAAGCTGGTTATTACTTACGGAGATGTGAAGGTTTGAAGGTGACGTTGACGAAAGCTTTATGGCAATTTGTGCCTGCCACTGCAAGAAAGTTGTTGCTATGTAAAATTTTATGACTTTTTACATTTTCCCCAATTTTTTCTGGATCATATATTTTATACCTACATCCATGTTTTCATATTTCACTTATATTTATTGTTTAATCACACTAAACAAATTTAAATGGCATTTACTGGCTCCCACAATGCCCTGCAAGTAACACACATAGTTTCATTTTGTGCACATCTATTTTCTCTGACGTAGTCCTAACCAGGCCAATTGGGACCATTTTGTAGGTCCTAGAATTTTGGCATAAATATACATCAGCTGCATTTCCCCAGATGGCACATATTTACATCATCGGCAGCTTAAAGGTTAAGTATCAGTGGGTCTGGCCTATAGTTAGCTGAGTGACCAGGGAGTTGCCTTGGCTGCAGGTTGTTTGAGGATATACCATAAACCTGTACAAGTCAAAAAGATCTTTAAGAAATCAAATTTTGTCAGACACTGCTTGAATTATGAATATCAAAAGTAAAAAGTTACAGCAAACACTCAATAAGATGAATTAATAGGTGATGTCCATTATATAAGAATGTTAAAAAAGAGTAAATAAGTGCACAAAAATACCACTTCAATAAACATTGAAAATAAATGAGTTAAAAGTACATGTACCATTAACTAAAGGATTTTGTAATTTTAAAAGTTCATTATATTGAAGGTTTACTGTATATCCTACATACAATTTACAAGAGCCAGAGGAGTAATTAACATGAAGACTGACAAACAGAATAAACCTTTCACTGTCCTTGGCATAGATCTATGTCTCAACTGAGCTCAACTCACTCAGCTAAGCTGAGAGCAGTAAATTTTGGTCTAGATATGAGAGAATGGGTCTGTGCAGCAAGTATGCACAGTATAAAAAAAAAAATCCTGCCCCATGCAGTGCATGATGGGAAAACCAAAACTCTGACCTTGTGCTTGGTTTACAATAGCAACTTTGAAGTGGTTTTCTAGGGTGGGTTTTATGGCTTTACTGACTGTTTCTTGGTATCATTTGACAGAATGGACAACAAACTACTGGAATAGAGATGATTCTGGTTGGCTCCAAGGATGGAAGTAGCTTGAAATCGGCTTCAAATTAGCAGAAATATTTTAGTTTTGCAGATTTTCCTGCAGACAGGTAAGGCCTTAACTACACCCCTTGGTCTGTTTTTTGAGTTGCTTTTACTAGGTCTGATTCAATTACTGACACTGCAAACCATGACCAATCATTCCTGGTTATATTTTATTATCCGTGAAATAGGGTAAATATTCATTTTTTTTTTTTGTGTAATAGAGTTCAAAATGGAAGGCAAGTGTAATACCGGAAAGGCCTGGGGACATGATTAACGAACAGATGAAATGTTTTAGTGCATGGAATGTGTGTGTTTATTTTGAACTCTGTTTTAAATTAGAATTTTTTTTAATTTTACGTAAAACTGGCCAAATTACCAACTTCCATGCACTTGAGGCAGTTTTGTTCGTTTAATTGGAGGTTTCTTATGCTCGTTCGATTGAACGGGAGGCATACTAGTGAAATGGCTAAAAATTTGGCTGAATTAAGCAATGGAATTGGCTTAAAATAAGACTCAAAGTGGGTGAAATCACAGATGTGTAAGTTGTGCCCACATTACTAACTTTGTCCCTCTGTAATTCCATAATTTTTTCATCAGTTTTCATACTTTGGGTGTCATTACTTCCATAAAGAGATTCTCGACCATTTCAGAAATTTTTTTTTTTATTAAATGCGAGTACTTTTATTTCAGGGCTTCAGACAGTGAAAGGGTTAAGAGCCTATCAACAAACACAGTACTGTACAAGAAATTACAGAGATGGATGCTGTATAGCCCTTGTGGCTTAGCACTTCTTTTTGATTATAATAATAATAATACAGTGGACCCCCGGTTAACGATATTTTTTCACTCCAGAAGTATGTTCAGGTGCCAGTACTGACCGAATTTGTTCCCATAAGAAATATTGTGAAGTAGATTAGTCCATTTCAGACCCCCAAACATACACGTACAAACGCACTTACATAAATACACTTACATAATTGGTCACATTCGGAGGTAATCGTTATGCGGGGGTCCACTGTACAGAGATGGATGAAGTGGCAGTGTTAATCACTGATAAGCATGGAGTCTTCAATAACACAGTGAGAATTAATACAATGCCTATGTAAGACAGGTGGGTAGAGATAGTACAGTTCTGTAAAAGGATAGCATGAACATTCATCTCAAGCCATGCATTAAGATCACAATAAACAGGTGATGCCACAATATGCAAAATAACCACTATGAAAAAAGTGAATTTCCAAGGGCTTTTGTGATTTCTCACATTATCAAGGAACTAAGAAATCACAAAAGTGCCTGAGAGGTCGCTATTTTTTCACAGTAGTCATTTTGCATCTTAAAATGTTAAAAAAAAAAAAAAATTGAAAATACTTGTTCATTTTCTTGTACCATGGTTAAGATATAAACAATTAATATACACCTGTAGAGTGAACAACTTTTTATTATCAAAAATACATACTGTACTGCTAGAACTTACTACACACACACAATACAAATTTTCCTAGTGTCACATACATAAACTTACCTTGACAAGTTTGGGTAGTATATCTGAGAACAATAGTAAATGTCGATACTAGAGTTGTCAAAAATGCGTTGAACATCACTTGGGGAATGGCTGATTTTTTCAATGATGTAGTTGATGACAGTCACTGGATGCTTCATTTTTACCACAGAGCTTAAAATCGAGTCACCCTATTCAACAAAAAGATTTAATACTTTTTAAGATTCAGCAGTATAAGGCAGGTACAATGAAAATAGGTACAGTTGGGTTTCTAGGGCTGAGTTATACATTTGTAAATGTGTAATGTACTTTCATTTAAGCTATTGACTAAGGATAGTAAACTGCTAGAAAAATTGTTTCAACAGAAATACAGCAACATCATGACTGATCAGGTATACATGTATCTTGCTATTTCTACTTAAACTTAAGTCACACTACACATACATGTACATGCATATATATTTACATACCCATCTGTTTTTTTTTTTTTTTTTTTCTTAATAGTTCTTGTTCTTCTTTATTACCCCTTATATCCATCGGGAAGTGGAAAAGAATTCTTCCTCTGTAAGCCATGTGTGTAGTATGAAGCGACTAAAATGCCAGGAGCAAGAGGCTAGTGGCCCCTTCTCCTGGATATACATATTACTAAATTTAAAGAAAAAATCTTTCATTTTTCTTTTTAGGTCGACCTGCCTTGGTGGGATACAGCAGATTCATTGAAAAAAAAAAAAGATGAGAACAGCTACATAGGACGTGCCAGATATATATCAAGCTGGAAGAAACAAACCTACATGAAGAAAATAAAACATAAGAATGAAAGGGAGTAAAGCCACTGGAACTGATGGGATCATGACAGAAATGTTAAAAGCTGGGGGAATATAGTGTTGGAGTGGTTGATATTTTTGTTTAATAAATGTATGAAAGAGGGGAAGGTACCTAGGGATTGGCACAGAGCATGTATAATTCCTTTATATAAAGGGAAGAGGGACAAAAGATATTATAAAAAATTATAGAGGAATACGTTTACTGACGATCTGTTGGAGTGTGAGCAGGGTAATATTTAGTGAAGGGATTCAGGGAAACCGGTTATTTTCATATAGTCGGACTTGAGTCCTGGAAATGGGAAGTACAATGCCTGCACTTTAAAGGAGGGGTTTGGGATATTGGCAGTTTGGAGGGATATGTTGTGTATCTTTATACGTATATACTTCTAAACTGTTGTATTCTGAGCACCTCTGCAAAAGCAGTGATAATGTGTGAGTGTGGTGAAAGTGTTGAATGATGAATGTATTTTCTTTTCGGGGATTTTCTTTCTTTAGGTCACCCTGCCTCGGTGGGAGACGGCAGACTTGTTCAAAAAAAAAAAAAAAAAAAAAAAAAGTTTACTGAATATACCAGGAAAAGTGTATGGTAGGGTTTTTATTGAAAGAATTAGAGGCAAGACGGAGAGTAAGATTGCGGATGAGCAAGGAGGTTTTAGAGTGGGTAGGGGATGTGTAGCTCAAGTGTTTACATTGAAGCATATTTTTTTTTTTTTTTTTTTCAACAAGTCGGCCGTCTCCCACCGAGGCAGGGTGACCCAAAAAAGAAAGAAAATCCCCAAAAAGAAAATACTTTCATCATCATTTGACACTTTCACCACACTCGCACATTATCACTGTTTTTGCAGAGGTGCTCAGAATACAACAGTTTAGAAGCATACATATATAAAGATACACAACATATCCCTCCAAACTGCCAATATCCCAAACCCCTCCTTTAAAGTGCAGGCATTGTACTTCCCATTTCCAGGACTCAAGTCCGACTATATGAAAATAACCGGTTTCCCTGAATCCCTTCACTAAATATTACCCTGCTCACACTCCAACAGATCGTCAGGTCCCAAGTACCATTCGTCTCCATTCACTCCTATCTAACACGCTCATGCACACTTGCTGGAAGTGCAAGCCCCTTGCCACAAAACCTCCTTTACCCCTCTCTCCAACCCTTTCGAGGACGACCCCTACCCCTCCTTCCTTCCCCTATAGATTTATATGCTTTCCATGTCATTCTTCTTTGATCCATTCTCTCTAAATGACCAAACCACCTCAACAACCCCTCTTCTGCCCTCTGACTAATACTTTTATTAACTCCACACCTTTTCCTAATTTCCACACTCCGAATTTTCTGCATAATATTTACACCACACATTGCCCTTAAACAGGACATTTCCACTGCCTCCAACCGTCTCCTCGCTGCTGCATTTACCACCCAAGCTTCACACCCATATAAGAGTGTTGGTACTACTATACTTTCATACATTCCCTTCTTTGCCTCCATAGATAACATTTTTTGACTCCACATATACCTGTAGGTTGGTAGACAGCAACCGGCCAGGGAGGTACTACCGTCCTGCCAAGTGAGTGTAAAACGAAAGCCTGTAATTGTTTTACATGATGGTAGGATTGCTGGTGTCCTTTTTTTCTGTCTCATAAACATGCAAGATTTCAGGTACGTCTTGTTACTTCTACTTACACTTAGGTCACACTACACATGCATGTACAAGCATATATATGTATATATACACATCCCTCTGGGTTTTCTTCTATTTTCTTTCTAGTTCTTGTTGTTGTTTATTTCCTCTTATCTCCATGGGGAAGTGGAACAGAATTCTTCCTCCGTAAGCCATGCGTGTTGTAAGAGGCGACTAAAATGCCAGGAGCAAGGGGCTAGTAACCCCTTCTCCCGTATAAATTACTAAATTTAAAAAGAGAAACTTTCATTTTTCTTTTTGGGCCACCCTGCCTTGGTGGGATACGGCCGGTTTATTGAAAAAAAAAATATACCTGAACGCACCACTCGCCTTTTTTCCCTCATCAATTCTATGATTAACCTCATCCTTCATAAATCCATCCGCTGACACGTCAACTCCCAAGTATCTGAAAACATTCACTTCTTCCATACTCCTCCTCCCCAAATTGATATCCAGTTTTTCTTTATCTAAATCATTTGATACCCTCATTACCTTACTCTTTTCTATGTTCACTTTCAACTTTCTACCTTTACACACATTCCCAAACTCATCCACTAACCTTTGCAATTTTAATTTAGAATCTCCCATAAGCACAGTATCATCAGCAAAAAGTAACTGTGTCAATTCCCATTTTGAATTTGATTCCCCAAAATTTAATCCCACCCCTCTCCCGAACACCCTAGCATTTACTTCCTTTACAACCCCTGTCTAAGACCTACTTTTACCGGGAAGTAGTCTCCCTCTCTTCTACACACCCTAACCTGAGCCTCACTATCCTCATAAAAACTCTTTACAGCATTTAATAACTTACCACCTATTCCATATACTTGCAACATCTGCCACATTGCTCCTCTATCCACTCATATGCTTTTTCTAAATCCATAAATGCAATAAAAACTTCCCTACCTTTATCTAAATACTGTTCACATATGTGCTTCAATGTAAACACTTGATCTACACATCCCCTACCCACTCTGAAACCTCCTTGCTCATCCGCAATCCTACATTCTGTCTTACCTCTAATTCTTTCAATTATAACCCTACCGTACACTTTTCCTGGTATACTCAGTAAACTTATTCCTCTATAATTTTTACAGTCTCTTTTGTCCCCTTTCCCTTTATATAAAGGGACTATACATGCTCTCCGCCAATCCCTAAGTACCTTCTCCTCTTTCATACATTTATTAAACAAAAGTACCAACCACTCCAACACTATATCCCCCCCTGCTTTTAACATTTCTGTCATGATCCCATCAGTTCCAGCTGCTTTACCCCCTTTCATTCTACGTAATGCATATATTATGAAAACATATATGTAGTGCATATATGTAAACAGTATTTAGAAAAAGGTAGGGAAGTTTTCATTGCATTTATGGATTTAGAAAAGGCATATGAGAGAGTGGATAGGGGAGCAATGTGGCAGATGTTGCAAGTACATATATGGAATAGGTAGTAAGTTACTAAATGCCATAAAGAGTTTTTATGAGGATAGTGAGGCTCAGGTTAGGGTGTGTAGAAGAGAGGGAGACTACTTCCCGGTAAAGGTAGGTCTTAGACAGGGATGTGTTATGTCACCATGGTTGTTTAATATATTTATAGATGGGGTTGTAAAAGAAGTAAATGCTAGGGTGTTGGGGAGAGGGTTGAGATTAAATTATGGGGAATCAAATACAAAATGGGAACTGACACAGTTACTTTTTGCTGATGATACTGTGCTTATGGGAGATTCTAAAGAAAATTTGCAAAGATTAGTGGACAAGTTTGGGAGTGTGTGTATATAGAAAGTTGAAAGTGAACATAGAAAAGAGTAAGGTGATGAGGGTATCAAATGATTTAAATATTTGATATCAAATTGGAGAGGAGGAGTATGGAAGAAGTGAATGTTTTCAGATATTTGGGAGTTGACGTGTCAGTGGATGGATTTATGAAGGATGAAGTTAACCATAGAATTGAAGGAAAAAAGGTGAGTGGTGCACTGAGGTATATGTGTAGACAAAAAAAAATTATCTCTGGAGGCAAAGAAGGGAATGTATGAAAGTATAGTGGTACCAACACTCTTATATGGGTGTGAAGCTTGGGTTGTAAATGCTGCAACGAGGAGGCAGTGGAGATGTCCTGTCTAAGGGCAATGTGTGGTGTAAATATTATGCAGAGAATTTGAAGTGTGGAAATTAGGAGAAGGTGTGGAGTTAATAAAAGTATTAGTCATAGGGCTGAAGAGGGGTTGTTCAGTTGGTTTGGTCATTTAGAGAGAATGGCTCAAAGTAGAATGACATGGAGAGTGTATAAATCTGTAGGGTGAGGAAGGCGGGGTAGAGGTTATCATCGAAAAGGTTGGAGGGGGTAAAGGAGGTTTTGTGGGTGAGGGGCTTGGACTTCCAGTAAGGATGTGTAAGCCATGCTTGTTAGATAGGAGTGAATGGAGACGAATGGTATTTGGGACCTGATGAGCTATTGGAGAGTGAGCAGGGTAATATTTAGTGAAGGTATTCAGGGAAACCGATTATTTTTATATAGCTGGACTTGAGTACTGGAAATGGGAAGTACAATGCCTGCACTTTAACCCTTTGAGGGTCGGTCACGTACAAGCACGTCATTGCAGCCAGGGTTGTTCACATACGTGTACGCCTAAATTCTAGCGCCTTCAAATCTGGTGAAGGAAAGCTGGCAGGCCTACATATGAAAGAATGGGTCTGTGAGGTCAGTGTGTGCAGTATAAAAAAAATCCTGAAGCACGCTGTGCATAATGAGAAAAAAAACTTTGACTGTGCTTTTGGTTTAAAAGTGACTTTCTAGTGAATTTTCGTATGGTATTTATGGTTGTATTCTTGTTTCCTTGGTCTCATTTGATAGAATGGAAGATATGTTACAGAATTAGAGATGAAATTAAGACACGTGTGCAACATCTGGGTATCTTTATTGTAGACATTTCGCCATCCAGTGGCTTTATCAATACAAATTCTAGGACACTGAATGGCGAAACGTCTACAATAAAGATACCCAGATGTTGCACATGTGTCTTAATTTCATCTTGTCGGTATATACCATTTTTACACAGAATTAGAGATGATTTTGATTGGTTTCAGAATGACAAGTACCTTGAAATTGAGCTCAAAGTAGCAAAAATTATCGATTTTTGGTGATATTCAAGAGTAAACAAATCAAGCTACGCGTCCAATACACGTCAACTGGTGAGTCTAATATTCTTTCGTAAGTGCACTGATATCATTTATACCATTTTTACAATGATGCAGTAGTATACATAACAGAAAAAACTATTTTCTGTGAAAATAAAAATTCAAAATGGAAAGCAAAAGTAATGTAAGAGGGGCCTAGAGACATGACTAATGAACAGACAAAATGTTATTTTAGTGCCATGAATGTCTGTCTTGTTTATTCTGAACCCTATTTTGAAATTTGTGTGAAATTGCCCAAATTGCCAATTTGTGGCCACTTTATTGGGTAGTTGAAATTGGTAAATGGGCAGATTCTTGTACTCAATCGATAGAACAAGTGGAGTTCTAGGGAAATAGCTATGATTTTAGTCAACTGCAACATTGGATCTGGCCGAAAATAGGCAAAATCGCTAACTTTGCAAGAGCACAATTCCATAAGTTTTTCATCAAATTTCATATTTTTGGTGTCATTATGATCAGAAGAAGATTCTCTCATTTCATAAGAATTTTTTTTTTTTTTTTTTTTCAAAAATTTTTCGACCCCGAGAACGAATTTGGGAGAGGGTCTCTCGACCCTCAAAGGGTTAAAGGAGGGGTTTGGGATATTGGTAGTTTGGAGGGATATGTTGCATATCTTTATAATTATACGCTTTGAAACTGTTGTGTTCTGGGCACCTCTGCAAAAACAGTAATTATGTACGAGTGAAAGTGTTGAATGATGAAAGTATTTTCTTTTTGGGGATTTTCTTTCTTTTTGGGCCACCCTGCCTCGGTGGGAGACGGCCAGGTTAGGTGTAAATGAATGTGTATCAACCATAACCAAATGGGTTCATCTGTTTACATCCTCTGCATCCTGTCTATAAATGAGCATGCAGAATTTTCCTCTGACGTCACTGCCGCTCTACCCCCGTTACTTTATTTTCCCTCCTTGATGACAGACTCCCTCATCGACTTTTTGACAGCAACTGAGTTATTACACAAACTTTGATAATCCTTCCTTTAGCACTCCTCACAGCCCCTCCTAACTTTACCTTTGTTATCTCCACCCTTATTTATCCTTAGATTCTGCATCAATTCCTACCCTGCAGTGCTGTATGACCCTGGTAGGTTTAGCACTTCCTTTTGATTATAATAATAATAATCTTGTTTACTTGTTCTCTCTCGTTTATTCCTTTTACCTTGTTTACTCACCTCTCACCATACATGAAGTCCAAATATTTTAAGGTAAGTAGTGAATGTACTGTATATGCATTTTATCGCTCTGGGGCACTTTAAATGTCGTAGTATATTACGTGTGAGTGGGGTGGCCTGGCTGGCTACCATACCTCCTACACCTGACCTTCTTAAAATAAATCCTACTCATTTTTCACCCTACATTAAGACTACAAATATTTTAAGGTAAGTAATGAGTGTACTGTGTGTATTTTAATATTTATTGTTTTTTAACCCTTTGACTGTCGCAGCCGTATATATACGTTTACGAGGTACCATGTTTGACGTATATATACTCATAAATTCCAGCAGCTTCAAATCAGGCAGGAGAAAGCTGGTAGGCACACATGTGAGAGAATGGGTCTGTGTGGTCAGTGTGCACCATATAAAAAAAATCCTGGAGCACGCAGTGCATAATGAGAAAAAAAAACTCCGACGCTTTTTTTTTTTAATTAAAATGCCGACTTTGTGGTCTATTTTCCTATAGTATTTGTGGTTGTATTTTCGTTTTCTTGGTCTCATTTGATAGAATGGAAACTATATTATAGAAATAGAGGTGATTTTGATTAATTTTACTATAAAAAGAACCTGGAAATGGAGCACAAAGTACGGGAAATGTTTGATTTTTGCTGATGTTCAAAAGTAAACAAATGATATCATTGTCCAATAAATGTCCAAATAGCCATTCTAATATGCAGTCATGAATGGATTGATGTAATTTTTACAATTATTACAGTATTGCAGTAGTCTGCATAACAGTAAATCTTTCTATTTTTTGTTTGAATAAAATTTCAAAATAAAAAGCAAGAGTAATATCAGAGGGGCCTGGAGACATGACTGATGAACAAAGAAAATGTTATTTTAGAGCCAGGAATGTCTGCATTGTTCATTCTGGTCCTTATTTTGAAATTGTCATATTTTTTAATTTTCGTGAAATTGGCCAAATTGCAAATTTCTGACCATGTTATTGGGTAGTTGAAATCGGTAAATGGGCAGTTTCCTGTACTCAATCGATGAAAAAAATGGAGTTCTGAAGAAATAGCTATGAGTTTGGTTGACTGGAATAATGGAATTAGCCGAAAATAGGGCTCAAAGTGGGCGAAATCGCCAATTTGTAAATATCGCCGAGGTCGCTAACTTCGCGAGAGCGTAATTCCGTCATTTTTCCATCAAATTTCGTTTTTTTTGGTGTCTTTACAATCGGGAAAAGATTCTCTATCATTTCATAAGAAAAAATATTTTTTTTTTTTTTTAAATTTTGCGACACCAAGAGACACCTCAGGATTGGGCGTTGCGACAGTCAAAGGGTTAATGCTTCGTTCTATTGTTAACTTAATATACATTAGTGTAAACTTGTTATCTGGCATTTACATGCATTTTTAAGTGGAAAAAATGGCATTCCCCTTTCTGGCAGTAGCCTGGAACTTAACCTGCCATATAAGAGGGACCCTACTGTAAAGTCAATCCCCTTGAGGTCATGTCCAGCTGTTGAAGGGCAGTGATCCCTAAAACTGTAGCTATTGTTGCCTTCCCCAGACTGAATCTCAATGCCTCCATGCCTCTTGCTACCCAGTAGTGAGTCGAGTGGCACACTACTCTTCTACTACTAATAACCCTTACCCTTGAACACTCCTGCCCCTCACTCACTCCCTACTAACGTCCATATATTCCTTCTTTAACACATCCCTCCCTGTAGCACTATGACCCTTTTGGGTTCAGCCCTTAATTGTAAATTAATGTTAATAATATAGGGGCTAGTAACCCCTTCTGTATAAATTACTAAATTTAAATATAAAATCTTTCATTTTTCTTTTTAGGTCAGTGGGATATGGCTGGTTTGTTGGAAAAGAAAAATACATTACCTCATGATTCTTCATGCCCAATGGAGAATAGAATCTGGATTGGTCAGCATTGCCGCACTCATCACATCGTTTAGTGACTCTGTTTATCACTCTATCGCAGCACAAATTTATTCCTTCGAGACGCTCTAGCACTGCTATTAGTAACTCTGTGTAGTTCTCTGTCTCTAATTTCTGACATGCCAGAACAATGAAAAGCCTGCAATCACAAAATTTGATGTTTATATATACATATATATATAATCCTTGAAATGCTCCCTATAATTTCAATGCATTAGTCAACAAATAGCCTGAATTCAGATAACACTAATGATCTAGGAATTACAATAATCCATGTCATATTAGAGAAATATTTTTGCAACATATTACAGCACAAGGTCAGGTGTCAAATAAAAAATTTCACTGCTGAACTTACGTGTCGCCATCCTCATCCTTTTTAACAAGCTCTTCGTTTGTTATCCTTGCCATCTGCCTGAAAGACAGGATAATTATATTTTTATATTTATGTTGTCTATCAGTGGACATTTAGAGAGGATGGAGCAAAATAGATTGACTTGGAGGGTGTATAAATCTGAAAGTTAAGACACATGTGCAACATCTGGATATCTTTATTGTAGACGTTTCGCCATCCAGTGGCTTTATCAATACAGATTCTAGGACATAATAGGAAGACAGTAGAACTATATACAAAAGATGAGGTAATCAGTCCCTCGGCCTTGGAGTTAGCGTTCACAGCATCGTGGTGGAGGAGAATCTGGAGCAAAGGCAAGAAGACTGGCGTTTATATAGGCGTCAGTGGAAGGGACGGGCAGCAGACGAGGGCAGTCACTGGTAGGCGGGATTCCCCAGTGGAAGTAGGTCCTTCCCAAAGAGATGGGTTAGTTGCAGCAGCCGTGAAGAAGGTCTTGTAGATGTCCTCTGAACCAAGATATATATAGTTCTACTGTCTTCCTATTATGTCCTAGAATCTGTATTGATAAAGCCACTGGATGGCGAAACGTCTACAATAAAGATATCCAGATGTTGCACATGTGTCTTAACTTTCATATTGTCGGTATTTTATACCTTTCTTGCACAACTTGTCAGACACTGCAACATCATGGAATCTATTCCATCAATCTATTCAAGATTGATGGACTGACCACATCTACTCAAGGTTGAGGGACTGATTACCTCATTCTCCTCCTGTTCTTCAAGATTCTCCTTTGTATGGACTGATGAAGCCACTGTGTGGCAAAACGTTTCCTCAAAGATACCCAAGAGTTGCACATGTGTCTAATTTATCGACAATGTTGTGGCCCATTTTAGACAAATCGTAAAGGAACGGGAGGTACAGAGCTCTATGGACAGATTTGTTGTGCGACAGAGGTCCAGTGACTCTCAAGCTGGTCCTAGTGGCATTAAAAGAAGAAGGGAAGTAACCCCAGAAAAGGACTTGCTACCTCAAGTCCTAATGGAAGGGGATTCCCCTTCTAAATACTAACACCATCCACACTCTCCCCTCCTCCCATCCCATCAATCATCACCAGATCTTCATTAAAGGTAAGTGTCAATTATTCTATTGTTATTGTAATTATTCTTTTGCATTAAACTTAATATTTCATGTGGTAAAATATTTTTTTCATACTTTTGGGTGTCTTGCACGGATTAATTTGATTTCCATTATTTCTTATGGGGAAAATTGATTCGCTTTTCGATATTTTCGGTATTCGATGAGCTCTCAGGAACGGATTAATATCAAATACCGGGGGTCCACTGTATATATATTGAAATATACACTGTACATTGGAGGTAATAATAAAGACACTGCAAGAAAAGTTTACAAATATTACTTTACCTGCGAGCTTCTCTGAGACGTCTTGGGTCAGGAACCATCTTCCACTCTGTGTCAGGCATTTCTCGAAGTACAAGACCTTGGGAATGCTGAGAAAAGTAAAATAAACATTCAATAACAGAATGTCTACTGTTGTACATCAAATAAGGAAAATCTAGTTTTTCTTATTCTCTTCATGAATGCTACCTTGCTCACATTCCAACAGTACATGGTCACAAAAACCACTTCCCTCCACTCACTCCTAATGTAATCATTTGGATCACTGACTACAAGTTGTAGTTGTACTGGAGGCTTGATCCTCTGCTATTATCATGATGGATGCACTACCTACTTATATCCACCTAGATGTCATTATTAGCAGACTTGTTGAAAGGTAAGCCAGAAGCAAGAAAAATTTAGAGAATGCTAAAAAATATAAAACTGAGGGTAGCTCACAGGAGGAATTCTCTATAAATAAGTTTGAGGCTACTATGAGAGAGAAAAAAATCACACCAAACAGAGAATAGAAGAAAAACTGTGCTACAGTATTATAAGTTTCCAAGACAAAAAAATGGCAAATCTGTAGACATCTTGTATATCAATGTAAACATCTTGTATTTATATATGTGGGCTAACCTTAAAACAGATTAAAACTGAGAAAAAAAAAATGAGTTCAGTATCAAAGGTCTGATGAACATGTTGGTACTGTATTAAAGGTACTGTTTGAAAAAATACAGCACTCAGAATGGAGAAATGAAGGAAGAGTGGGGAGAAATAGTACTACTGTAGTGAAGAATCCTTCAAGTGAGGCATATTGATGAAGTATTCTTAATCCAAGGAAATAGAGCTATCCTCGCATTCATCAAATCAAATCTGATTACTTATAATACCAAGGACATTAATGAGTTTAGCACTTCCATGAATATAATGTAGTAAAAAATTCTTTTTCCATCTCATAAACACGCTAGATAACAGGGATATCTTGCTACTCCTACTTACACTTTGGTCACACTTCACAGACACACACATGCATATATATATACATGCATCTAGGTTTTTCTCCTTTTTCTAAATAGCTCTTGTTCTCCTTTATTTCTTCTATTGTCCATGGGGAAGTGGAAAAGAATCTTTCCTCCGTAAGTCATGCGTGTCGTATGAGGCGACTAAAATGCCGGGAGCAATGGGCTAGTAACCCCTTCTCCTGTAGACATTTACTAAAAAAGAGAAGAAGAAAAACTTTATAAAACTGGGATGCTTGAATGTGCGTGGATGTAGTGCGGATGACAAGGAAACAGATGATTGCTGATGTTATGAATGAAAAGAAGTTGGATGCCTGGCCTTAAGTGAAACAAAGCTGAAGGGGGTAGGGAGTTTCGGTGGAGGGAAATAATGGGATTAAATCTGAGTATCTGAGAGAGTTAGAGCAAAGGAAGGGGTAGCAGTAATGTTGAATGATAAATTATGGAAGGAGAAAAGATAATATGAATGTGTATATTCAAGAATTATGTGGATTAAAGAAGGTTGGATGCGAAAAAGTGGTCATAATAAGCGTGTATGCACCTGGAGAAGAGAGGAATGCAAGAGAGAGAGGGGAGAGATTTTGGGAGATGTTAAAAGTGAATGTATAGGACCCTTTTTGACCAAGTGAGAGAGTAATTGTGGTAGGGGACTGAATGCTAAAGTAGGAGAAACTTTTAGAGAGGGTGTGGTAGGTAAGTTTGGGGTGCAGGTTTTAAATGATAATGGGAGCCCTTTGATTGAATTTGTATAGAAAGGGGTTTAGTTATAGGTAATACATTTTTCTTAAAATAAGAGGAAAAATAAGTATACAAGATATGATGTGGGGCAAAATGACAGTAGTTTGTTGGATTATGTTTTGGTAGATAAAAGACTGTTGAGTAGACTTCAGGATGTACATTTTTTTATAGGGGGGCCCACAGATATATCAGCCCACTTTCTAGTTGTAGCTACACTGAGAGTAAAAGGTAGATGGGATACAAGGAGAATAGAAGCATCAGGGAAGAGAGAGGTGAAGGTTTATAAACAAAAAGAGGAGGCAGTTAGGGTAAGATAATAACAGCTATTGGAGGATTGATGGGTAATGAGAGCATAAGCAATGGGGTCGAAGAGGTATGGGTAGTTTTAAAAATGTAGTGTTGTGTTCAGCAGAGTTTGTGGTTACAGGAAAGTGGGTGGGGGAGGGAAGAGGAGCGATTGGTGGAATGATGATGTAAAGAGAGTATTTAAGGGAAAAAAAGTTAGCATATTGAGAAGTTTTTACAAAGTAGAAGTGATGCAAGGAGGGAAGAGTATATGGAGAAAAAGAGAGGGGTTTTAAGAGAGTGGTAAAGCAATGTAAAAAGAGAGAAAATGAGAGAGTGGGTGAGATGTTATCAACAAATTTTGTTGAAAATAGGAAAAATTTTTTGGAGGGAGTTAACAAGTTAAGAAAGCCTAGAGAACAAATGGATTTGTCAGTTAAAAATAGGAGAGGAGAGTTATTAAATGGAGAGTTAGAGGTTTTGGGAAGATGGAGGAAATTTTTTGAGGAATTGTTAAATGTTGATGAAGATGGGGAAGCGTGATTTCGTGTATAGGGCAAGGAGGAATAACATCTTGTAGGAGTGAGGAAGAGCAGTTGTGAGTGGGGGGGAAGTTCGTGAGGCAGTAGGAAAAATGAAAGGGGGTAAAGCACCCGGGATTGATGGGATAAAGACAGAAATGTTAAAAGCAAGGTGGGGATATATTTTTGGGGAGTGGTTGGTGCAATTATTTAAAAAATGTTATGGAAGAGGGTAAGGTACCTAGGGATTGGCAGAGAGCATGCATAGTTCCTTTTTATAAAGGAAAAAAGGGGGGATAAAAGAGAGTGCAAAAATTTATAGGGGGATAAGTCTGTTGAGTATACCTGGTAAAGTGTATGGTAGAGTTATTATTGAAAGAATTAAGAGTAAGACGGAGAATAGGATAGCAGATGAACAAGGAGGCTTTGGGAAAGGTAGGGTGTGTGGACCGGGTGTTTACAGTGAAACATATAAGTGAACAGTATTTAGATAAGGCTAAAGAGGTCTTTGTGGCATTTATGGATTTGGAAAAGGCATATGACAGGGTGGATGGGGGGGGCAATGTGGAGATGTTGCGGTGTATGGTGTAGGAGGTGGTTACTGAAAGCAGTAAAGAGTTTTTCGAGGATAGTGAGGCTCAAGTTAGAGTATGTAGGAAAGAGGGAAATTATTTCCCAGTAAAAGTAGGCCTTAGACAAGGATGTGTCATGTCACCGTGGTTTTTTAAATTTATATTTATAGATGGGGTTGTAAGAAAAGTAAATGCGAGGGTTTGGCAAGAGGCGTGGAGTTAAAGATAAAGAATCACACAAAGTGGGAGTTGTCACAGTTGCTCTTTGCTGATGACACTGTGCTCTTGGGAGATTCTGAAGAGAAGTTGCAGAGATTGGTGGATGAATTTGGTTTTGGGGGTGCAAAAGAAGAAAATTAAAAGTGAATTCAGGAAAGAGTAAGGTTATGAGGATAACAAAAAGATTAGGTGATGAAAGTTAGGATATCAGATTGGAGGGAGGTATGGAGAGAGGTGAATTTTATTCAGATATTTGGGAGTGGAGTGTCAGCGGATGGGTCTAGAAAGATGAGGTGAATCATAGAATTGATGAGGGGGGGAAAAGGGTGATTGGTGCATTAGGAGTCTGTGGAGCAAAGAACTTTGTCCTTGGAGGCAAAGAGGGGAAGTATGAGAGGTATAGTTTTACCAACACTCTTATATGGGTGTGAAGCATGGGTGATGAATGTTGCAGCGAGGAGGGAAAGGGTGGAGGCAGTGGAGATGTCATGTCTGAGGGCAATGTGTGGTGTGAATATAATGCAGAGAATTCGGAGTTTGGAAGTTAGGAGGAGGTGCGGGATTACCAAAAACTGTTGTCCGAGGGTGAGGAAGGGTGTTGAGGTGGTTCGGACATGTAGAGAGATGGAGTGAAACAGAATTGGGCTTCAAGAGTGTATCAGTCTGTAGTGGAAGGAAGGCGGGGTAGGGGTCGGGCCTAGGAAAGGTTGGAGGGAGGGGGTAAAGGAGGTTTTGTTGTGCGAGGGGCTTGGACTTCCAGCAGGCATGCGTTTAGAGTGTTTGATAGGAGTGAATGGAGACAAATGGTTTTTAATACTTGACATGCTGTTGGAGTGTGAGCAAAGTAACATTTATGAAGGGGTTCAGGGAAACCGGCAGGCCGGACTTGAGTCCTGGAGATGGGAAGTACAGTGCCTGCACTCTGAAGGAGGGGTGTTAATGTTGCAGTTTAAAAACTGTAGTGTAAAGCACCCTTCTGGCAAGACAGTGATGGAGTGAATGATGGTGAAAGTTTTTCTTTTTCGGGCCACCCTGCCTTGGTGGGAATCGGCCAGTGTGATAAAAAAAAAAAAAACTTTACATACTACAAAAATTAATAATACAGTTTATGAATTAATGGAAGAGTGGACAGATTTGAACCATTTAGTAGGCCAGAAGCTGTAACCACTTTTACAACCAGGACTTGTATGATGTGGCTGTATCAATGGCACCAACTGTAACCCTACTGTCTCATCCCACAGCCCCTCAAGCTTTCACAGTACTCCATCTATTCTCATACCTCTCAAAGTCATAGAGCAAATAAGCTCAAGACAAGCCATAATGAACAACTGTCAGTGAATGAACAGAAGAATGGATGGGGACTCAAACCATAATTCATGCCTGAGTGGTTACAGTATTAGACCTGATATATGAATGAACGATGGTGCAAGTCCCTGTCCATTCTTCTGTTTATTTATTGACAGTTGTTCATTATACCTTGTCTTGGGTTCATAGATTATATAGCTTTAAGGAGTATGAGAGTAGATATTACATTAACCTTTTATCTTGTAATTAAACAAACTGCTGTCATTCCACCTATATCATACCTCAACTATATCATACCAAACTATTTTTCACTGATACACAAATAACCCGCACATAGAAGAGAGGAGCTTACGACGACGTTTCGATCCGACTTGGACCATTTCCAGTCACAGTATTGTGCCTTTTTTTATTTATTTTTCACTGAACTCTTGACACTCCAAACTTATCTACAGCACTACACTATCTACAGCAGTCTCACTCACTTTAACATTTTGATCCCCCACAATAATTCTCTCATTTGGCTCAAAACAATGAAGAATTAACTGCCCCCTCTTTCACAGGTGGAATACTGCATAACTCAGGCTGAGAGGAAGAATGGTCAAGCCTATGTGATTTCCCAGTCAACAGGTTATATTATGGGGCAGTATACTAGTAAATAGACAAATTATTCTCTCATTTTTGGATCAAAACTCACTAAGCATTCACTTAACATCTCTCAAAATCTCTCTCAAACACCTCTTATTACCTAGGTACCTACACCTTTACTGTAACCCACTTCTCCCATCCCATCTTCATTCTAAGCCACATAATTCTTGAACTGACCCACTTATCCATCTTTACATTCCATAGGTGATCATTCAATACTGCTATTCCTCTAGTTCTGATTCTCTCAGATATATCCAATCTAGTCCCATTTACCATCTTCCCTCATTGAAATTCTAACCTTATTACCTTTGTTTCACTTAGTGCTATTACATCCAACTTCTTTTCATTTGTAACATTAATAATCATTTCTTTTTATCTCTAGTGCACCCATCTCCGACTAAGAGTTGTTGAGAAAACTTGAAACAAATACAAGTAACAAAAATGAAGATGCTTACAGATGCAGGTATATTGTCGTATTCTATCCCAGGTTCCAGTGTTTGAAATGAATTAAACATGGGAGGTGAAGGCTCTGAACTGTAATTCAAAGTCTGAGAAGTGCCTCTCCTCATCTGCAAGAAAACAATGTCAAATTATTATCTCCTTATTCTGATGCAATCCAGTGCAATATGCATGACCTAAATGGTTACTTCTGCTAAATAATCATAAACTAAAACCTAATGATTGACTAGAACACTTACAAAAAATATCAATAAAATTTATTGAAAAGAAAAAGTTACAATACAGTGGCTGGAGCAATTCACAACTAAACTACAATTTGTAGTGAAAGTTTAGATGGTATTTCAGTTTGTCCTAGACCCTTATCATATACTTTACAATGGTCCAGGATGGACCAAAATATCAAAAGTTTTCCCTCCAAATTGTGTGCAAGGGGACTGAACATACAACAGACGTGTGTGTGTGTGTGTGTGTGTGTGTGTGTGTGTGTGTGTGTGTGTGTGTGTTGGATTGGCATTAGAGGAGACGAATGATTTTTGGAACTTGACGAGCTGGTGGATTTTTGAGCAAGGTAATATTTTGTAAAGGGATTAAGGGAAACCAGTTAGCCAGACTTGAGTCCTAGAGGTGGGAAGTACAATGCCTGCACTTTAAAAGGAGGGGTTTGAGATATTTGCTGTTTAGAGTGACATCTGAACTGTCATATCTGTGCACCTCTGCAAAGACAGTAATATTGTGAATGGTGGTGAATGTTTTTTCTTGTTTGTCATCCTGCCTCAGTGGGAGACGACCAGTGTGTTCTGCCAATGTCAACATTTAAAACTCACATTTACTATGTGATCTGCATAATTTTTACTTATGAGATATATTACATATCAGTCTGCATTAAAACAACTTCTGATTGTTAATGATTCACGAAATCGTAATGACACGATTGCAAATGGTTAGTGGATGGTACAGTACTGGAAAAGCATAATTATTTTTTCACTAAAACTTTTAAGCCAATTTAAATAAATCTATAAATACTAGTAAAAACTAAATTACCTTTCAATAGTTATATCTATACATTAGTAGCATACACTAAAGAAAACGTACCTGCGAGATGTTAGTTGCAGGCACTTCAATCTCATCTGTCAAGTGCCTGATAATATTTTCTAATTCTTGAGGAGGAACAATAGTTGTTTCTTTGTTATTCATCACTTCATAAATTGCCTGTAATGACCAATATAAAAGCATTACAACCAATTTATTTTTTGAATCACAAAGTTGTTGATAAAGTATTAACAAAAATTTCCCATATCACTATATTCTCAATATCTTATATAATCTTACAGTGCGTAGCGTACAAACAAGTACTATAGTGGTTCACCGAATATCCACATTGTATGAGGCAGACGTATGTCTGTATATAGAGTGGTCCAGTTACATGACCCTGAAGAAGTACGTACAGGATTTTTCTTAACTAGTTCATTAGAACATGTCATGTAGCATTTTCATAGTATACATGAAAATATTCGATCTGAAAACAATTAAGAAATAACGAATCTGAATATTTTCAAAAATTTAATACAGTGGACCCCCGCATAACGATATTATTTCAATCCAGAAGTCTGTTTGGGTGCTGTTATAGATCGAATTTGTTCCCATAAGAAATATTGTGAATTAGATTAGTCCATTTCAGACCCCTAAAAATACACCTACAAAAGCACTTACAAAAATAAACTTACATAATTGGTTGAGTTGGGAGCTGATCGTTATCCGGGGGTCCACTGTATTGTACGTACATAAAATTCTTCACCACACTATATCAAAGAAATAGAAATATTCAAACCTACAACAAATAGCATAACATTGTACAGGTCGGCCAACACTGATCTGGCAATTGCTAATCTGCCACTAATTTCAGCTAGCGTAAGTATCGCACCCATTTTATGAGGTGCTTATTGATTGCAGTTAACTCTGGCAGAACAATACACAAGTTTCTTAAGGAATTTAATGGTCCCAGTAATGCCAGATTAGTGATGGTCGACCTGTACCAAAGAAATACATTTGGTAAAGATAGGAGGGAGAAGGTTAGTGGTGGAATATCCCATCTATATCAAAGCATATGGTGTACCTAACAGTTTCTCTTCAGCCCACTAAGATCAGCATCTGCTTCTCATCCACAGACCATAATTCAAGTTGTAAACACAATTCAGGTAAATAATGGTAAGTTGGAAAGTGAAATCTACAAGGTTCCCTCATTCTTTCTGGAGCAGATATGAAAGTTACTTTAGACCCAAGTGAAGGAGCATCGTCAGTCAGGGGCACTCCCGCCCACCTTCGCATTACCCACTTCTACTCTTCATGACACATCCACACCACTTCACAATTTTGAATTGTCTAAACAACTCAAATTCTTTTAATATACTGTATGCATTAGAGAGCAATAACATAGTTAACTGAGTGAGAGTTTTGGTAGGAATACTACCAACCCTCCTTCCCTCTCACAATATGCTCAATTAAGTGGTATGCCACTCACTATCTCCATGATTCTTATTGTCTTTTGTCCTCAGCACTGCTAGTGAGCACTAGACTGTACTGAACTGTATGTAATCCCTTAAATACAATCCTCTACTAAAATTTAAACCTTCATGACAAAAGTACATGTGTGTATTTTGTAACTTCATGTCAAACTGTGGCAAGAAACAAGCAATAAAATAATAATATTTGATATGCTTACTTCTAGAAGATAATTTATGTCTTGATCAGGTGATGGTGGACTACTACCAAATCCATGTTGATAGTTCTCATTTTCATCCTGAAAGGATTGAAATAACTAAAATTACATCACATGACTCAAGGTCACATTTTACTATTTAAATTCTTATCAACCAGAGAAGCACTATGAGACATGAGGGGTCACCAGGGCACATAAGAGAATCTAGGTTAAGACAACACAAGACCTTATACTGTACATGAACTGCCGAGAACTAAATCACTGTGAGTTACCCCTGTTGATCCTGTCTAGACACACGAGGTCAAGGTAGCAAAATGAAGATCTTGCTGCCCTACATTCCTTACAGCCTTTTTTTTTTTTAAACATACCAGCCGTCTCTCTCCGAGGCAGGGTAACCCGAAAATAAAAAAAAATTCTTCCTTTCACATTTAATAATTTATACAGAAGGGGTTACTAGCCCCTTGCTCCCATCCCTGCAGACATCCTGACAGCATTATTAAAAAATTCAGCTCCACATGAATTTAGCCCATGTTTATGGATATAATTAAGAAAGGCAGATAAATTAAATAAACAAGGAGACTGTCTATCTACCTACTAACTATATTTTCCATGCAATAAGATCACAGTTCCTTGATAATGTGAGAAATCACAAAAGCACTTGGAATTTCACTATTCTTCACAGTGGTTGTTCTGCATATATTTTCCATAAAATTGTTGAGATAAAAGATAATGTTTTATTTTAAATTAGTGGTACAAGTATTTTTAAACTCTAGCTATATTTGGAAATAAATGATATAAAATACCGACACAATGATAAAGCCCACTGTCGGGGTGAAACGTTGTCAATAAAGGATCACATTATACTGCTTATGCATTTATTTTTCTAGTTATATTTATTTTTTCTAAAGCATTAAAATTTTGATTATTAATCTGTATAATTTTTTACAAAATTTGAGATAAATAAGAGTGATTTTTCCAGTCTCATATATTTAAGTATTAGACTAAACCAATAAATTTTTATCAGTAATTTAAATAATTTCTATAGCATGAAAATGGGAATTAAAAGCATTAAAACTGCACTTTAGACTAATAAAAATCTATAATTAGGCTAGGTATGCACCAACACACAAGGCTAGGTACATCCTGTAGTACACCACTCAACTAATTCACTCAACTTAATACTATGCTAAATGGGGATAAATTAAGATGATATTCTTCAAAAATTGAAAGCTATTTTTTTTAATAATATAAAATACAAAAACTTACCGGACTAGATATTGGAGGGCTGTCGGGGATTATAAAACTACCTGTCAAGGACCCATAATAATTTCCATCTACGTCACTTGCAGGTGGAAGCTAGAAAATGATTTAAAAAGATGTCATTTGTATAGAGTGGAAAGTAAGAGACAAACACAATAAAATTGAACAAAGATAACTGCAATATAAAACACAGGAAGGGGAAGGAAGCCAATGGGCTTACAAGTTCACAGCCTAATGCAAAGTCACCTAAAAAAAAAAAAAAAAAAAAAAAAAAAAAAAAGACTAATTAAAATCAGATTCTATATAATGTGAAGTACTATATTTCATTATTCTGTAATTTATGGCATACAAAGTTTAAAGACATCATATGCAGCGTCAGAAAAATTTCACACGTTAACATGAATCAGTAATGTTCAATTACCGACAGTAAATTATACAGCAGATTTGGCATGTTGGAGTGTGAGCAAGATAACTTTTATGAAGGGTTTAAAACCTGGATCCATTCATAACAGGACAGTCACTGCACTTCCTGGAGGTGGGAAGGACAGTGCCTGCACTCTAAAGAAGGGGCATGGATGTTGCTGTTGGAGGGTAATCTGAACTGTGATGTCAGCACACTTCTTGCAAGACAGCAATTGAATGATGGTGAATGTGTTTCATTCTTTGGGTCACCATGCCTTGGAGAGAAGGGGGGCCATTGAGGAAAACAAAAATGGCATGAACACTGGGAACTTGTAATATACACATCATTTCCAGAAAGTCTAAAGGTGATAAGATGTTAACAAATGTCAATACAGTTCCAAGTACAAAACTTTAATTACTTACACTTAAAAATATACAAAGTTTCAATGAATTTATAAATAGTGCTTTAAAGTAATTTATTGCAATTCATGCAGAACAGGATGACTAAGAGGGTATATAAATTTGGGGTGAAAGGAAGGAGGGGGTTGGGTCATCCCAGGAAGGATGACCATAACACAAGACACAGATCTCTTTTTGATATACCTCGTGTCCATATCACACTGTGTAAAAACTCCAAAATTTGGAATTCATTACCAGAAGATAATAAAGTAACCCAGTCTGAAAATCAATTTAAGACTATTCTCAAAAGCCACTTAATCACCCTAGACTAAATGCTATATACTCAGTACACACATACTCACTTATGTTATTCCCACATCATAATTTTTACAACCACTTTGAACCTTTTATCCATTGTTGACAGGAATATAATTGAATCATTGTTTTCACAAAAGCATTTTTTGAATATATGAATATATCTTTTCTTTCTTTCTTTCAACACACCGGCCGTATCCCACCTAGGCGGGGTGGCCCAAAAGGAAAAACGAAAGTTTCTCCTTTTACATTTAGTAATATATACAGGAGAAGGGGTTACCAGCCCCTTGCTCCTGGCATTTTAGTCGCCTCTTACAACACGCATGGCTTACGGAGGAAGAATTCTGTTCCACTTCCCCATGGAGGTAAAGGGAAATAAACAAGAACAAGAACTAGTAAGAAAATGGAAGAAAACCCAGAGGGATGTGTACATGTACGTGTAGTGTGACCTAAGTGTAAGTAGAAGTAGCAAGACGTACCTAAAACCCTGCATGTTTATGAGACAGAAAAATGGACACCAGCAATCCTACCATCATGTAAAACAATTACAGGCTTTCGTTTTACACTCACTTGGCAGGACAGTAGTACCTCCCTGTGCGGCTGCTGTCTACCAACCTACTACCTAGGAATATATCTTTTGTCTTATATAAATTATTCTTTCTTTCAACACACCGGCCGTATCCCACCGAGGCGGGGTGGCCCAAAAGAAAAAACCAAAGTTTCTCCTTTCAAATTTAGTAATATATACAGGAGAAGGGGTTACTAGCCCCTTGCTCCCGGCATTTTAGTCGCCTCTTACAACACGCATGGCCTACGGAGGAAGAATTCTGTTCCACTTCCCCATGGAGATAAGAGGAAATAAACAAGAACAAGAACTAGAAAGAAAATAGAAGAAAACCCAGAGGGGTATGTATATATACGCTTGTACATGTATGTGTAGTGTGACCTGAGTGTAAGTAGAAGTAGCAAGACATACCTGAAATTTTGCATGTTCATGAGACAGAAAAAAGGACACCAGCAATCCTACCATCATGTAAAACAATTACAGGCTTTCGTTTTACACTCACTTGGCAGGACGGTAGTACCTCCCTGGGCGGTTGCTGTCTACCAACCTACTACCTAGGAATATATCTTTTGTCTTATATAAATTAGATTCTTTCTTTCTTTCTTTCAACACACCGGCCGTATCCCACCGAGGCGGGGTGGCCCAAAAGGAAAAACGAAAGTTTCTCCTTTTACATTTAGTAATATATACAGGAGAAGAGGTTACTAGCCCCTTGCTCCCGGCATTTTAGTCGCCTCTTACAACACGCATGGCTTACGGAGGAAGAATTCTGTTCCACTTCCCCATGGAGATAAGAGGAAATAAACAAGAATAAGAACTAGAAAGAAAATAGAAGAAACCCAGAGGGGTGTGTATATATGTGCTTGTACATGTATGTGTAGTGTGACCTAAGTGTAAGTAGAAGTAGCAAGACGTACCTGAAATCTTGCATGTTCATGAGACAGAAAAAAGGACACCAGCAATCCTACCATCATGTAAAACAATTACAGGCTTTCGTTTTACACTCACTTGGCAGGACGGTAGTACCTCCCTGGGCGGTTGCTGTCTACCAACCTACTACCTATAAAATTAGATTCACTTATAATTAATAATCTACTGTACAACTATGATATAATTAATATTCTACTGTACAGCTATGACATAATTCTTAGTGTTAAGTAGTCTGTAAGACAATAATGTTAAGTCGGCCCATAATGCCTAGGGATAATAGAGGCTCTCTTTGCATTGCAACCCATTAATGTAAATACAAAATCTCAAGTACCATTTGCAAAGACGTAAATAAATAAATAAAGGGTTGAGGAATAACTCATGAAATCATAATAACACAATTGTAAATAAATTACAGAATAGGTGGGGTTTGAACCTGTGGCAAACTGAGTCCTAAGCACGGGCTTAGAGTTTTAGGACTCACTTGCCATGGGTTCAACCACCACCAATTCTGTGGTTTGGGAGGCTCTGAGTGTTCGGGGCTGGAACATCCAACAGGCTTGTGTGAGTGTATTAGGCTGGAGTGGAGACGAGTGGTTTTTATGAATTGGTGTGGAGTTGAAGGTGTGAGCAAGTTAACTTTTTATGAAGGGACCCAGGGAAACCTGGATCCCTTCATAAATGTTACCCTGTTGACACTCCAACAGCACATCAAGTTATAAAAGCCACTTGCCTAGTACTCACCCCTAACACACCTGTTGTATGTCCAAGCTCCTCACATACAAAACCTCCTTTACCCCCTCCCTCCAACCTTTCCTAGGGCAATCTCTACCCCTCCTTCCCTCAACTAAAGATATATACACCCTCCAAGCCATCCTATTTTGTTCCATCCTCTCTAAATGTTCACACCACTCTGCACCTCCTCCTAACCTCCAAACTATGAATTCTCTGCATAATATTCACACTACACATTGCCCTAAGTAACATCATCTGCACTGCCTCCAGCCTCCTCCTCACTGCAACACTTAAAACCCAAGCTTCACATCTACACAAGTGTGTCAGTACCACTATACTCTGATACATTCCTCTTTTGCCTTCATGGATAACTTTGTCTCCACAGACAACACAATGCACCACCCACCTTTTCCCCTCATCAATTTTATGGTTCACTTTATCTTTCGTAGACCTGTACGACGACAAGTCCACTCCTAAAGATGTGATCACATTCACATTAGCTTAAAACAAATGCAAGGTACAAAATGAAATTCACTCACATATGTAGGCATGTTGTAGCTGCATTCGTCAAGTGCTGCTGGGTGAGTAATCATAGACATGGGTGCTTCCAAAGTCCTATCAGGGACCATCTACAAAAAAAATAATTAAATAGTTAATGAAATATATTTTAGGAATACCAGCATACCATACGTGCACTTTAATGGTTGCCTCTGACTGTCTTGGGCAATGAATCACAACAAAAACTATACAATACATTTGTATTATAAAAACTTTCGTCATCATTCACTGAGTAAATTATTTTTGAGTCCCTCTACTTTGGTGAAATGGTTGATAACGTTTAAAAAAATAAACTGAAGTATTAAGAAAATGACATCAAATACCACTCATAAAACTGATGCAGTAAAATGAAGAAAGGTTACCTGTAATCACAAACAGCTAATCCAGCAAAAAAAAAAAAAAAAAAAAAAAAAAAAAAAAAAAAAAAAAAAAAAAAAAAAAAAACTTACATTATATTGAAAGTTGTCTGGTAATACACCGTGGGTAGGTGACATATCCGGATAGCCTGGAGAGATTGCTTGTGGAGCCTGACACTAGGAAAGAAATTATTAAGTAATAAAATGCTACAATATTGGTTATTTTAAATCATATAAATATGACTAACAAAAGTTGTCCTAGTTCCCACAAAAGAAAATCTCATAACATAAACTATTGTAATGATGCACATCTTTGCTGCATAAAATTCAAAATTAAAATCTGAAAAGGAAAGTTTGAAAAACTGTATACTGTATTTTAAATGCCCAAACTATGCACGTACTAATTCTAAAGTAAGATAAGGAACAAAGCAGAATGGAACATCACTACAAAATTACCTATAAAATTAATTTTACTCATATCACACTAAAATAGAACAATTTTAATCTTACCGTGTTATAGTACACATACGCAAGAGAAACAGAGCAGAAAAAGTTCTATACCTGCACATGTTGGTGAATATAGTCCGTCACTCCTCCATGCATAGGTGAGACTCCTGAATATCCCGGGGACTGGGCATGCTGGGGAGTCAATAACTAGGAACACAAAAGAAAGTATCTATTAAAGAAAACTCAGTTAAATGGAGAAAAACTCCTCTCTCTCCCATTCTCACACCCTACCCCCACTTGAGTAGACATAGAAGTATGTGTCATATTAAATACGTACTTTCATAATTCTCTCTCTCTCTTTAGAGTTTGAATCTCAGTTAGCAAGGAGTAAGAACAGATTTTGTTGCATACATGTACAGCTACTTATTAATCACTTTCTCAAATATTTTTTATAGTGTTAGTAGATAAGATATTGATCTGCTATTGTTCAACTTGGTTTGATCACTACATTTGTAGATGGGCATCATTCGGGCTTTTTTCAGTGAGGAAAAGTACGTTCAAGTGATTTGTTTCCTACCACGGCAAGGTGACCCAAAAAATAAGAAACACTTTCATCATCATTCACTCTATCACTGTCTTGCCAGAGGTGACTCACGAAATCGTAATGACACAATTGCAAACAAACCATACCATGGGCGAGGACTGAACCCGTGATCAGAGTCATATGGAGTTTTGCAACTCTCTGATCACGGGTTCTATCCCTGCCCGTTGTATGGTTTGTCAGAGGTGCAGAAAAATTATTTGTACAGCTTTCTTGTAGATAATAGTATTTCTGTGCCACTACTAAAGGCAAAACCTTTCAACAATAAAGATACCCAACTGTTGCTCATTTGTCTTACTCATCAGAATCAACTTATCTACAACTTACCCCGCTGGAAGGAGCCCCAGCTGTAAAATTCCATAACTGACTCTCAGGAAAGGCAGAAGGAGCTTCATGACCAACATGATAATAAGCATTCTGCTGCACATTCTGCAGAAAAAAATACTTTTAAATTTGCTTCCCAATGTAAATCAAGAGCATGAAAGAAACCCAATATATACATAGACATATACCCATTATTGGGCTCTACACTTATAACTTCTACAGTCCTGCATCTACACACTCATACTGTATAATGTATTGTGCACAGTTGAATTAAATTTTCATTATTAAAAGGGTTAAGTTATGAAAATTTTTCATATGCAACACTAAAAATATGTTTATTATGTACATTTTTAACACAAGCAACTTAACAAGGCTGTGTTTTTCCAAAAACAACTTCAGTGAAACTTAATCTTTGGTATTTTTTTGCAAATAAAATACACTATGATCATTATTTTGTGTCTAATTTTACCATTAAACAGTATCTATTAATACAGTACATAGTACGTTCATCTCAAAAGCAAGAAACTCAAAATTAAGAAAAGAGCAATACATGTATAACAACACTCACTATTCCGGGTCCTCTCCGGACAAGCCTGAAAGGCTTCTCATTTACTTTGGGAAGCTCACAGTCATCATCTGCTGGATTTTCATCATCTGAATGATCCTCTTCCTCTTCTTCTTTCTCCACTTTGCTCTTGTCTCTGTTATAATCGTCTTCCTCCTTTTTGTCTTTATCTTTCTTAGCTTCTTTTTTCTCTTGTTCAACATTCAGTTTAGTAGGCAAATCTATCTGTAAAATGCCCAAGGAAACAAAACATAATTAGTTTTCATATTATGAAAATAAAAATTGCTGTAACTGAAATTTTAAATTATTTAAATAAGCCTTATACAATAGGACCCCCCATATCCGCAGGGGATGTGTTCCAAGGACTTGCTGTAGATATCAGAACTGGGATAGTAGCAAACCCTACATATAAGTCCAATCCATACCTATTATTAAGTTTAACTGATAAATCATGTACATTAAGAGGAAAATTATCACTTTTTCACTGATGGGAAGCACTTCACGGCTTCTCTTAGTCTTTGAAGAACTTCCACCATCACTACTATTGCACTCTGAGGCCATTATTAAGCAAAATTAAAGGTTATTTTCAGGCCAAGGCAAACCATAGACAACTGAAACCAAGGATACCAGACCTGCAGATACAGGGGTCCTACTGTATTAGCATCAATCCCGGACTCAAGTCCGGCCTGCCGGTTTCCCTGAATCCCTTCATAAATGTTACTTTGCTCACACTCCAACAGCACGTCAAGTATTAAAAACCATTTGTCTCCATTCACTCCTATCAAACACGCTCACGCATGCCTGCTGGAAGTCCAAGCCCCTCGCACAGGAGGTTTTGTGTGCGAGGGGCTTGGACTTCCAGCAGGCATGCGTGAGCGTGTTTGATAGGAGTGAATGGAGACAAATGGTTTTTAATACTTGACGTGCTGTTGGAGTGTGAGCAAAGTAACATTTATGAAGGGATTCAGGGAAACCGGCAGGCCGGACTTGAGTCCTGGAGATGGGAAGTACAGTGCCTGCACTCTGAAGGAGGGGTGTTAATGTTGCAGTTTAAAAACTGTAGTGTAAAGCACCCTTCTGGCAAGACAGTGATGGAGTGAATGATGGTGAAAGTTTTTCTTTTTCGGGCCACCCTGCCTTGGTGGGAATCGGCCAGTGTGATAATAAAAAAAAAAAAAAAAATTAATATGTAACAAGGAAGTTTGTTACTGTAGCCACACACACTAGGGTCATTTTCCTCAATTACAACTAAATGTAATATTGGAACTGCAAATGATGCAATTACTGCCATTGCAGCAAAATTACCATGATAATTTCATGATCTTTACAGCAATATCTGAGTTGATCACTTTTATGGTCCAGTAAGGGTGACAAAGAAAACAATGATCCTTAATAATTAGCTGCCTATACAAAAGTGTAAACACTTAATGTAAGCCAGAGTTGACTTAGCAAGCCACTGAATTGCCTTGCATTCAGGGTGCATGTACTGATAGCATGTTTACCCTAATCTTGGCATATGTATTATCTTTACACTCCAACAGAATGTCAAATCTCACAAACTTCTTGCCTACACTCGCTTTAACATAACACCTGGTAATCTAAAACGCTCACATGAAGAGCCAGATATTCTCAATACCTTTTTCCCATCTTCCAACTGTTCCATGAATGCTCCCAACATCACCTTTCATTAACCCTTTATTAACCTATCTTGCTTTATTCTTTCGATATAATCAAACCACCTCTAATAACCCCACTCTCACCATCTTGTTTCTCCTTTCCTTATTCTCTACACAACATTCACAGAACAGTTATATGGGAGATAATTCCACTGGTCCCAGTCTGTTTCACACTGCAATATTCAAGGATCATGCTTCATGCCCATTTTAGAATCTACTTTTCTTTCCAAAGATTTCTAAACCACTCCTACAACTTAATTTATGAAAGTTACCTCATCTTTCATAGACCCAACTACTGATGCATCTACTCCCCAATTTTATTTTGTTTTTTTTCAACAAGTCGGCCGTCTCCCACCGAGGCAGGGTGACCCAAAAAAAGAAAGAAAATCCCCCCCAAAAAAATACTTTCATCATCATTCAACACTTTCACCACACTCACACATTATCACTGTTTTTGCAGAGGTGCTCAGAATACAACAGCTTAGAAGCATATACGTATAAAGATACACAATACATCCCTCCAAACTGCCAATATCCCAAACTCCTCCTATAAAATGCAGGCACTGTACTTCCCATTTCCAGGACTCAAGTCCGACTATATGAAAATAACCAGTTTCCCTGAATCCCTTCACTAAATATTACCCTGCTCACACTCCAACAGATCGTCAGGTCCCAAGTACCATTCGTCTCCATTCACTCCTATCTAACACACTCATGCACGCTTGCTGGAAGTCCAAGCCCCTTGCCCACAAAACCTCCTTTACCCCCCCCTCTCCAACCCTTTCGAGGACGACCCCTACTTCGCCTTCCTTCCCCTATAGATTTATATGCTTTCCATGTCATTCTACTTTGATCCATTCTCTCTAAATGACCAAACCACCTCAACAACCCCTCTTCTGCCCTCTGACTAATACTTTTATTAACTCCACACCTTTTCCTAATTTCCACACTCCAAACTTTCTGCATAATATTTACACCACACATTGCCCTTAGACAGGACATCTCCACTGCCTCCAACCGTCTCCTCGCTGCTGCATTTACCACCCAAGCTTCACACCCATATAAGAGTGTTGGTACTACTATACTTTCATACATTCCCTTCTTTGCCTCCATAGATAATGTTTTTTTGACTCCACATATACCTCAATGCACCACTCACCTTTTTTCCCTCATCAATTCTATGATTAACCTCATCCTTCATAAATCCATCCGCCGACACGTCAACTCCCAAGTATCTGAAAACATTCACTTCTTCCATACTACTCTTCCCCAATTTGATATCCAATTTTTCTTTATCTAAATCATTTTATACCCTCATCACCTTACTCTTTTCCCATGTTCACTTTCAACTTTCTACCTTTACACACATTCCCAAACTCATCCACTAACCTTTGCAATTTTTCTTTAGAATCTCCCATAAGCACAGTATCATCAGCAAAAAGTAACTGTGTTAATTCCCATTTTGAATTTGATTCCCCATAATTTAATCCCACCCCTCTCCCGAACACCCTAGCATTTACTTCTTTTACAACCCCATCTATAAATATATTAAACAACCATGGTGACATTACACATCCCTGTCTAAGACCTACTTTTACCGGGAAGTAGTCTCCCTCTCTTCTACACACCCTAACCTGAGCCTCACTATCCTCATAAAAACTCTTTACAGCATTTAGTAACTTACCACCTATTCCATATACTTGCAACATCTGCCAAATTGCTCCCCTATCCACTCTATCATACGCCTTTTCTAAATCCATAAATGCAATAAAAACTTCCCTACCTTTATCTAAATACTGTTCACATATATGCTTCAATGTAAACACTTGATCTACACATCCCCTACCCACTCTGAAACCTCCTTGCTCATCCGCAATCCTACATTCTGTCTTACCTCTAATTCTTTCAATTACAACCCTACCATACACTTTTCCTGGTATACTCAATAAACTTATTCCTCTATAATTTTTACAATCTCTTTTGTCCCCTTTCCCTTTATATAAAGGAACTATACATGCTCTCCGCCAATCCCTAGGTACCTTCCCCTCTTTCATGTATTTATTAAACAAAAGTACCAACCACTCCAACACTATATCCCCCCCTGCTTTTAACATTTCTGTCATGATCCCATCAGTTCCAGCTGCTTTACCCCCTTTCATTCTACGTAATGCCTCGCGTACCTCCCCCACACTTACATTCTGCTCTTCTTCACTCCTAAAGGATGGTATACCTCCCTGACCAGTACATGAAATTACCGCCTCCCTTTCTTCCTCAACATTTAAAAGTTCCTCAAAATATTCTCGCCATCTACCTAATACCTTCCTCTCCCCATCTACTAACTCCCCTACTCTGTTTTTAACTGACAAATCCATACTTTCCCTAGGCTTTCTTAACTTGTTTAACTCACTCCAAAATTTTTTCTTATTTTCATTAAAATTTCTTGACAGTGCCTCTCCCACTCTATCATCTGCTCTCCTTTTGCACTCTCTCACCACTCTCTTCACCTTTCTTTTACTCTCCATATACTCTACTCTTCTTATAACACTTCTGCTTTGTAAAAACCTCTCATAAGCTAACTTTTTCTCTTTTATCACACCCTTTACTTCATCATTCCACAAATCACTCCTCTTTCCACCTGTCCCCACCCTCCTATAACCACAAACTTCTGCCCCACATTCTAATACTGCATTTTTAAAACTATTCCAACCCTCTTCAACCCCCCCACTACTCATCTTTGCACTAGCCCACCTTTCTGCCAACAGTCGCTTATATCTCCCCCGAACTTCCTCCTCCCCTAGTTTATACACTTTCACCTCCCTCTTACTTGTTGTTGCCACCTTCCTCTTTTCCCATTTACCTCTTACTCTAACTGTAGCTACAACAAAATAATGATCCGATATATCAGTTGCCCCTCTATAAACATGTACATCCTGGAGCCTACCCATCAACCTTTTATCCACCAATACATAATCTAACAAACTACTTTCATTACGTGCTACATCATACCTTGTATATTTATTTATCCTCCATACATTAAGTGTCAGGGGCCCGAGACTGTTCAACTGCCTCCCAGCACACATAAGGGGATTACCAACAGACCACTGGTAGTCTTCAAGCTGGCACTGGACAAGCACCTAAAGTCAGTTCCGGATCAGCCGGGCTGTGGCTCGTACGTTGGTTTGCGTGCAGCCAGCAGCAACAGCCTGGTTGATCAGGCTCTGATGCACCAGGAGGCCTGGTCACAGACCGGGCCGCGGGGGCGTTGACCCCCGGAACTCTCTCCAGGTAAACTCCAGGTTTTCATAAAATATGTATTAATTATTACCAAATCTCTTTCTACACATAGCTCAATTAAAGGCTCCCCATTTACATTTACCCCTGGCACCCCAAATTTACCTACTACTCCCTCCATAACATTTTTACCCACTTTAGCATTGAAATCCCCAACCACCATTACTCTCACATTTGATTCAAAACTTCCTACGCATTCACTCAGCATTTCCCAAAATCTCTCTCTCTCTCCTCTACACTTCTTTCTTCTCCAGGTGCATACACGCTTACTATAACCCACTTTTCACATCCACCTCTTTTCCTGCCATAGCTTATCCTTCAACATTATTGCTACTCCTTCTTTAGCTCTAACTATTTGAAACCCCTGACCTAATCCCATTTATTCCTCTCCATTGAAACTCTCCCACCCCCTTCAGCTTCGTTTCACTTAAAGCCAGGACATCCAGCTTCTTCTCATTCATAACATCCACAATCATGTCTTTCTTATCATTTGCACAACATCCACACACATTCAGACTTCCCACTTTGACAATTTTCTTCTTATTCTTTTTAGTAATCTTTACAGGAAAAGGGGTTACTAGCCCATTGTTCCCGGCATTTTAGTTGACTTTTACAACACGCATGGCTTACGGAGGAAAGATTCTTATTCCACTTCCCCATGGATATAAAAGGAAAAGTAATAAGACCAAGAACTATTAAGATAAAACTCAGATGAGTGTGTATAAATAAATGTGTACATGTATGTGTAGTGTGACCTAAGTGTAAGTAGAAGTAGCAAGACATACCTGTAATCTTGCATATTTATGAGACAGACAAAAGACACCAGCAATCCTACCATCATGTAAAACAATTACAGGCTTTTGTTTTACATTCACTTGGCAGGACGGTAGTACCTCCCTGGGTGGTTGCTGTCTACCAACCTACTACCAATATACTACCAAATATAGTACCAAATATAGTAACTTAATAAATTTCAGTCAATTCCTATACAAGGTGTTAATCAGTGAGCCAGTTGAAGTGTTCACATTTTTAGAGTACAAAAATTATAAAACTGGCTGTTAGATACATGTGTAGACTCATTAGATAAAGTCACATTTCAAAGAACAAAAGCACTTCTCCAAGACACAGTGCATGATCAACACAGTTTAAAACAAACAAACACACACACACACACACACACACACACACACACACACTAGAGGATCAGGCACATATAATTGGAAGGCACTGCAATGGATCAGAGAATACCTTACAGGGAGGCAACAACGAGTCATGGTACGTGATGAGGTATCACAGTGGGCACCTGTGACGAGCGAGGTCCCACAGGGGTCGGTCCTAGGAACAGTGCTATTTTTGGTATATGTGAACGACATGATGGAAGGGTTAGACTCAGAAGTGTCCCTGTTCGTAGATGATGTGAAGTTAATGAGGAGAACTAAATCAGATGAGGATCAGGCAGGACTTCAAAGAGACCTGGACAGACTGGACACCTGGTCCAGCAACTGGCTTCTCGAATTTAACCCCGCCAAATGCAAAGTCATGAAGATTGGGGAGGGGCACAGAAGACCGCAGACGGAGTATAAGCTAGGTGGTCAAAAACTGCAAACCTCGCTCAAGGAGAAAGATCTTGGGGTGAGTATAACACCGCGCATGTCTCCGGAAGCATACATCAACCAGATAACTGCTGCAGCATATGGGCGCCTGGCAAACCTGAGAACAGCGTTCCGAAACCTTAGTAAGGAATCGTTCAAGACACTGTACACCGTGTATGTCAGGCTGATACTGGAGTATGCAGCACCTGTTTGGAACCCGCACTTGATCAAGCACATCAAGAAATTAGAGAAAGTGCAAAGGTTTGCGACAAGGTTAGTTCCAGAGCTACGGGGATTGTCCTACGAAGAAAGGTTGAGGGAAATCGGCCTGACGACACTGGAGGACAGGAGGGTCAGGGGAGACATGATAACGACATATAAAATACTGCGCGGAATAGACAAGGTGGACAAAGACGGGATGTTCCAGAGATGGGACACAGACACAAGGGGTCACAATTGGAAGTTGATGACTCAGATGAATCAAAGGGATGTTAGAAAGTATTTCTTCAGTCATAGTGTGTTCAGGCCGTGGAATGGCCTAGAAAGTGAAGTAGTGGAGGTGGGAACCATACTTAGTTTTAAGGCGAGGTATGATAAAGCTCATGGGGCAGGAAGAGAGAGGACCTAGTAGCAATCAGTGAAGAGGCGGGGCCAGGAGCTATGACTCGACCCCTGCAACCACAAATAGGTGAGTACAAATAGGTGAGTACACACACACACACACACACACACACACACAACAGGCCTAGTGTCTAATCAACATGTGCCCAGGACAAAATGGTAACTAACTTGTGCAACATTATAAAACAAATCCATGTACTGTACTTAGTATTTGCAAGGTAAAATTTGCAATGAATAAGGAATATTTTATGGAATGAGGTTTATTCAGAAGGGACTGGTGGAAGCTAAATCCTGTAACCTCTAATTGTGAGAAATACTAGCAAATTATATTCCATAAATTACAGCATACATAAACAGTAAAACACAGAAAATAGAAAATTACTGAAGTTATTTGTCTAAAAGTTAAGAATGTCCAACAAACCTTCTCATGTGTAGCTTCTTCTTTGGTTAGAGTAGAGTTGATGTTCCATTTCTCTTCAAGGCTAGCATTTTGTTCTGGAATTACCTTACTCTTCTCTGTAGTTTTATTTGAATAATTTTCTTCATTTTCTGTAGATGTTTCTTTGTCATCATCTTTCTTAATAAAAGTATTTTTATTTTCCTCATGCTGAGAATTTCTATCCTTGCTGCCATGTTCCTCTTGCTGAGAAAAACAAATTGTTTGAATTTATAGGTTAAATTTTTTTACCAAAAGATTAAATTACTATTTATATTAATTTTTTTAAGATAAACTGCAAACTAAAAGTCTACATTGTGAGTAATATAAACCCAACACTGCCTGGACGGGTGTCTATTTTCTTTTTACTAGATGCAAAACACTTAAATTGAAAACCAAACATAAGTTGTTTAAAATTTGCTCAATGGATTTCCCATACCCAAATCTTGTTTTCTATAGTCTTATTTTTTTAACACCCCAGCCATTTCCCACCAATTCATGGTGACCCGAAAAAGAAATTTTCAGCATCACTCACTCCATCACCGTTTTGCCAGAGTAACATCAATACTATATCTCAGTTGCCCCTCCAAACTGCAAATATCCCCATCCCTCCTTCAGACTGTAAACACTGCACTTCCCACCTCCAGGACTCAAGTCCCACTAACTGGTTTCACTGTATCCCTTTATAAATGTTACTTGGTTCACATTCCAACAGCATATCAAAGTCATAAAACCCACTTGCCTCCAATCACTCCTATATAACATGCTCACACATGCCTGTTGGGGGTCTAAACCCCTTGTATACAAAGCCTCTTTACCCCTACCATGCCTTCCCTCCACTGCAGATTTATACACCTTCTAAGTCAACCTGTTTTGCTTCATACTCTCTAAATGTCCAAACCACCTCAATACTTTTAATAACCCAGCACCTCCCTCTAATCTACAAACTATGAAATCTCTGCATAATATTCACCCCATAGATTAACAATGTACAGTATTCATTACTGTCCAACAAACCTCATGTGTAGCTTCTTTTGTTGGAGTAGAGATGCTGTTCTGTTTCTCTTCAAGGCTAGCATTTTGTTCTGGAATTACCTTACTCTTCTCTGTAGTCACATATGAAAAACTTTCTTCTTCATCA